TCAGTGGACACATTTAAACATGTCCAAAATTCACTCAACTGCTGGCCACTTCTTGTCCACATATGCCCTGTTGCCCAACCTGGTTGGTGAGGCTACAGCACCCACTTAGACCTTAGATTAAATGAGTCCTCTGTTTCATATTCTGATTTCATGTGCCATCTGAGGCCATTGCCGGACTTTGTCAGCAAAAAGAAAAAAACAAAAACAAAACAGCAGGCCTTTAATCTCCCTCCAGCTCAATCCCTCGCTGACGTTTTCCAGCTACATTCCAACTCCATTACAGAGACCTTCGCTGAGATTCTGATAAAAACACTTGCTTCCTGCCATTTTGATCTGATCAGGGACATTTTAGCCACTCTTTTTTTCTTTGCTATCAGTTATCAAAGCTCCACACAACTCAATGATCTGCCTTTGTACAAACAGCTGACATCACTTGCTGCCAAAAAGCCATCCGGTGCAAGTCACGAGAACTTTACATCTGTACTTAAAGTCAACAACATCGACATTTGTGTTGTTCATCACTTCATCAAAGACATCTTCTGCTAATGATGCATGCTGTACAACTCTAAGGCTTTTGTCATGATAGCTGTCAGTGTTCCTATTTAATGTCTCCCAGAGTAAAAACGGAAACCCCATAGTTGCAACTTGTTTACTGAATGGGTTTAATTATTTTTTTTCCCCCAGAGGTTGGCTAGAGACTATGGTTTGTAATTCTGGATTCAGGAATTCAGGAACCAATGATAATATTAGTAGTATAGTTTTTAAATGGCCTGCATGTAATTAAAGACTTCCATACCTTCCCAGACTTGGGAGACTTGCATAGGTGCTGTTCTCTGTGCGGCTGCTTTATAACAATAGTTTCATCCCTTCCTACTTCAAATGAAGACTCCATTTCCCTTTATTATGTGATCCCTAGGCCCAGGCTGACCCTGCTGGAAGAGGTGTGAGGGTAACCATTTTCAGATGTGTACCAGTGAGGGGGCCCCGGGTGCTCGGGTGAAAGGGGTGTCCTGCAGGGCTGAGGCAATTGACGCTCCCTGCCTCCTGCCTATTTTCAAATTTTCAGCTCCCTATGGCACCCATCCAGTGACCTCCTCCAAACCCCTGCCGAGGCCGGTGCTCTGCAGGCTGCTGAAACCCAAGAAGCATACCCCCTGATCCAATTCATTATTTTTGCAGCAGGGCGGTGCTGTGAGTAACGAGAGCGTCCTTCAAACTGGAAGTCCTGAGTACAAACCTCCGTGACAGCTAAAAGCATCCGCCCTGTTGAAGTGTCCTTGAATTCCTGAATCCTTACCAGCTGTAATGGCAGTGTTACTCCATGTAACTTTGAGTCATTGGTGGGCACAGTGCAGGTAAACACAGTTATTAGATTAAGTCTCCAGTCTGTGCATTTCCCGTCTTATGCAAAACCTTGCTCCAGCAGAGCCGTTAGTTTTCTTTGACAGGTTTGGCACGTATCAGTGCTTTCCTCTTGAGGAGAAATATTCAAGGATTAAAAACACTGCCGCATGTTCCACAGTGCTTTACCTAAACCCCAGTTTGTCCACTGTCATTGTAAAAGCTCCTTCATGGGTAATCTGTCTGTGTTGGTCAATGTCTTCATGTTCCACATGACGGTGGACTGGTTGGTTGCAGTGACCAAATTTTATTAATGTGATCTTGTGTTATTGTTCTGTTTGTTTTGCTTCAACTCCAAGATCCACATGGAACAACGCCATGCGTTTTTTTTACGATTCCAAGAACTCATTTATAGCTCGAGCTGTCTGCAGGGCTGGAACAAGAGGCCTAGGAATTCAGAGATACCACCTTAAACAAGGCAGATACAGATTCAAAGCTAAACATTTAAAGACATATATAACTGATAACTTTTTTCTCAAACAGGTTTGAGCTGTTTTGAAATTCAGACTAAAATATGATTGTGTTTGTCCACTGGATAAATTCAACTGAACACACCAACTGTTATATTCTATCTATACAACTTGGGTGTAAATGCTTGCTTCTGAATTCATGTAGCATGACCTCTACCAGCACTGATGTTAGTCCATACTAAAATAAAGACAATGGCAAAAAAAACAGTCTTTCACTCTTCTAAGACATTTGGCAACCACTGTATTCTATTCATGCTCTGTAAGGTACTTTATACACCTAATGAGAAGTGTAGACCTATACATCAGTATAACTTTTCTGAATGTCTCAATGGGCATTTGATAATGGCTTTAGCAGGTACACCAACCATTCCAGTGCAACCAACACTCAGGGTGTGCTCTTGGCCAGGCCTGCAGCAATACTTGAGAGTGGTCAGTTTTTCAAAATAAATGAAGTAAATGTAAGAGTGTCTGTCTAGATACATACTCCTGATGTATGGTTCTTACTTTTGCATCATCCCGGCTGGGCTACTGGACTGTCTCCAAATGCAGAATGCTGCTGCAAGGCTGTTGACTGGGACAAGCAGGACGACACACATCACATCCATCTTATCTTCTTTGCACTGGCTTCCCTTTAGTTTTAGGATTCAGTTTAAGGTTCTTGTTTAAACATGCAGAGCCCCTGTATGGCCAAGCACCTGTGTGAATCTCTGGCCCTCTCTTTACTTTATCGTTATTTAAGGAGTGAATTTGAAAATTACCTTCAAGGTGTCTGTGCACTGCTCAAACATGTCTGCAAAATTTGGATCTACCATCCATTCTGAATTGGCTTGAATTGAACTTCACTGAATTGAAAACACCTCACTGACTTTGTGACTTCTCTGAGACACAACACATCCTGTATGATCACAAGTAGACAGCTCTGACTACAGTTGTAAAAGCATTCAAAACACACTTGGGACATAGAAAGATCCATCCACTCAAGCCACTGTAAGATGGCACGACACACTACAAACAGTTTCAGATAATAAGAAAAATAACTCAGCAAGATAGCAAACAGCCACCTCACTCCCCTCTGGCTGTACGCCTAACAGCAAATGTGCATTTTTGTCCTGTTCATTAGTGGTCAGACATAAAATGGTTCCTGAACAATACAGCAAATGATTACTAGTGGACTCTTGAGACACAAGTATGCTTGTACTCGGTGTGCATGGATTCTTCTAAACAAACAAATGAACAGTAACATCCTCTTCTCTTCCCCGAAAGCTCCGTAATCTCCATTCTCTGCCACAATTCAGTAGTCCTTTAAAAATAAAAGCACTGAGATATCTTGGACACATAATCTGGGAGGAGAAAATGAGACTGAGCAGCTCGTCCAAAAAAGCACTCCAGCCTCTCCATTAGTTGGAAGTAAAGAGTGGGCGGCTTAGAGGAGTTGCTATTCTGTTGTGCGCCATGAATCACAGAGCGGTGATGTTTGTTCAGTTCCACGGCCCATCCTACACACTCCCACAATTAACCTTCTGCCTGGAAATCCTCTCACACTGACGTGTTTGTGCGTGTGTCTGTATGTGTGTAGCGTGTATGTGTGTGTGTGTGTGTGTGTGTGTGTGGTGTTGACTTCCACTCTGAGTGTTTGAGAGAGGGCGTAAGATGGAGAGGAGATGGTTTTGGCTCAGATAACAGAGCTATTGTCAGAGATTTCTCTACAAGCAAGTCTGTCCTGTATTTCTAACCTTTATCCTGCACCTTTATTGTGTTTGGTGGTTAAGGTAATTCTTGTTGCCATCCTCTGTCACCAAAAAACTTCACTTAGCATTCATGTGAGTCATCCAGTCAGAGGGAACAAAATCTCAAAGTTGCCTGAGATGTAAATATTCAAAGCAGAAGGTGCCGTTTTCTAGCTTAGGAAGGAATGGGAAAATATCTGTTATTAGTATTTTATGCTCATTTATTTGTAGCATGTTGACTTCAAACTCAGAGAAAATTACTCGTTTCCGGAAATGTAGCCAGGAATAAAAATTAGAGGCAAGCTGAGTGCAACTGAATTCTGAAAATTTCACGCTGAGAACACAAATGAACCAGATGCTCTTCATCTGCTTAAAGAGACAGTTCAACTCAAAATAAGAATTACATATTTTTCCTTTTACCTGTAGTGTTTTTTATTTATCTAGATTGCTTTAGTTTGAGTTGCAAGTGTTGGCGATATCAGTAGAGATGTCTGCTTTCTTTTTAATAAAATGGAACTAAATGGCACTCAGCTTGTGGTGCTAAAATTGCAAAAAATATACTTAATTAACTCAACAGCAATATCTCTTTCCAGAAGCTACGACCAGGTCACTCAAGATAATCCACGGACCTTGCTGTGAGCAGCTTCATGTAAGAACTGTTTATTTTCTACTGAACTACACCTGCCAACCATATCACTGTGCAAAAGGAAGTGTGCATCTACTCATGGACAAGAGTCTCATGCTCATGACAGCGCAAGATGTTAACATTAATGAAGTCCTCCTTGCTGACCTGTAATAAGCTAGCTCAGGAGAAGGAACCGCACAGAAGGATGTGTGCATCTGCTGCTAGCTCACCTAGCATCACGTGTCATGATTTCTGGAAAGAGACGTTGCTGTTTAGTTTTTCAAATGTATTTTCAAAACGAGGCAGATATCTCTACAGCTTATGTCTCCAACACTCGACAACACCAAAACAATCGAGACTGATAAATAAAACTGTACTTTTAAGTTCTGCATGTTCACTTCAATGCAATTGTACATTAAAGCTAATGTGGCTGTTAATAAAGCTCATTGATGCATTAATAAATGCTGAACTACATACTGTATGGCTGGCATTAATCTGAAGCTTGTACAATAAAGAGAATTCACAGTCTCAGGAAAAAAATCCAAAATAAGTAATATGCCATTTTTTCAGCAGGAACTAACCAAGTCATACTTTCTATTGAGGTATTTGTGGTATGTGATTGAAGCTCCAATTGTAAACCTCAGCCCCCATTTAATCTCACACCAGCCATAGATTTACTCCAAAATTCCCAATGTATTTGTCGGATCTTAGTGCCTTCCTACAGGTTATTTTGATAACCTGGTAATTTATCCCTCCTCTTCTTGGCTCTCATCTTACCTCATTGCCAAGCAGAGCAGAGACGCAGGCTTCGGAGGCATCGCATATGGCTGTGAGGTCATGACCCCCCTCCAGGGCAAGCACCAACCGACCGCCTGCCAGAGCCATCAGTTGCCTGGTCAGGTAGCCAAAGCCTGGACACACAGGAAATGACAGCAAAGAGATGGCAGAGACAGAGAGGGAGGGAGAAGGAGCAGGAGAAAAGAATGAGATGGGGGAGCACTGTTCAAGCTCTAACTTCCTTTTTGGATATCGATCAAAGAAAAAAGAGAGAAAAAATGGGGTTTGAGCCTGAATGAGAAAAAGGGTGACTGCATCAGAGAGAGGAAGAGAGAAAGAGAGCGCACTGTGGATTTACTGGGGGCCAAAAAACAAGCCATAATACGATCCAGGTTTAATTTTAATAAATGCAGCTTTGCGTTTAGGCTTGGTCGCAGTCTTTGATCTTTTTCTCTCAGGAGGAGGGGAGTTTTAATATATGCATTCAGCCATACTTTCTTCTCCCCTAAATTCTACCCATATCCCCCTTCCTGCAATCCTCTCTAACCACCCATATCACCCCTTAACAACCAAGACCCCTGTTCTTATTTGAGATCTGCGGGATGGTTTTAGAAAAGCTCTTTGCTGGCACGCCAAGGTCTTGATCTGAATACACAAGTTAGACACACAGAATAAACACAAAAGCATGTGTTTGTGTGCCTGAGTGTGCGCCTGTCAGTCTTTGCTGCCATCAAATATTGCGCTGTGTTGCACAGAAAGAAAATATGAACGACATGAGTGAGACAGTGAAGGGCATTAAAATTATGTGTATGTATTACTAGAAGTCCTTTAGAGAATTTTTATCTATGGCTTAGAAAACCAAGAATGATTAACTGGGTAACTGTGGTCAGCACTTACATTTGGCTGTCAGTTTGTATCCTCCCAGGGGTGGAGCATGTCCGTCTACCGCATCAAAGCCTGAAGATACCAGAACCATGTCTGGGGCAAACTCATTGGCAATAGGCATAACCACCGTCCTAGGAAAAAACAGCGTCAACAAAATAACATATTTATAGTGGAGACTGCATGAGAGAGGCGGGTAAATTTTCACAAGTCATATAAGATTCCTATCTCTGACCAGTTGTGGCTTTACTTAATATAGAACACTGTATGAAAACAAGTGCATGTTTTTTTTCGCTACAAGGAAGAGGTCGTTTAAATTATCAGTGTCTCACAAACACCAACAGCATGGAAATCTTGATGATAAGTGAGGTTAAAGTCTGTCCTGCAGGCTGAGGGTTAGTCTCTCTTCCAACTGGCCCTTTCTGAGTCACAGCGGTCTAAAGCAGGCTCATCAAAAAGTCATTCTGCATTTCATGAACAAATATGCTTGCAGCTGTAAGTGTAAAATATATATTCAATAGGCTGGCTACATGACAGGATGACTGGGCTACAACCAAACATAAACTGCTCCAAAATACATTCAACATAGTATATTCCAAGATAAGAAATTGCTGCTCAACCACTCAGAAGTACAATCAAAAACCACAGAGACTGATGAGCCAGATTTTCAGGATTAATTGTTCAAATATAAACAGTTTTATATATCTCCATTATATATGACTGTATCAAACCATATGAAATTAACAGCTAAACATACAGAGATTCAAGACGTACACTGGACTAAAAATGGAGCATACGGGACAGCTGTATAAAGAAAGACCAAACTGTGGCATATCAACCAAAGTCTCATACTCTGATGAAGCTACATTTACCTAATAAAATATTTTACACCATGTCTCTTTTGGGTCAACTAATCAAAAAACTGTAAAATAAGAAGAATGACTGACTTGCTGCAGGCAAGCTAAATGAACTCTGTCACCTCTGGTGGCTAACTACTGGAGTTTGAGAGAACTACCATTAAAATATATATATGGAGATATGCCTTTGGTGCTTACTGTCTTGATAATGATTGTAGTATACGGTGTAATCAGGTGGAGATGCTACATGTCATTATTGCTGTATATCAGTCACTGTATTTTTTAATTCTTCTATGGCTTTTCTTTCCCTTTCATGGTTGTCAAAGCAAACATCCACCTAATGAGTTTGTATGCACCGTATGTGTGTGGCAGAGAAAATTACAGCGTACACTTTTTGAAGTGGAGAGTTTGGAAATCTGGAGGCAGCAATACCCTGCAACATCCTTAAGTAAAAAGGAGAAACGGAAGGACAGATATAATTGCATGTGTGTGTATTTGCGTTGAGCGTGCAGGGTAATTCTAACACTGGATGGGTGTGGTCAGTGAGGGCTGTTTGTGTACAATCTTCCTCTGACACAGCTGGCAGGGAGGGAGTGCTTGTGTGCAATGTGTCATACGCATAAATCCAATCAACAGTAGGGTACTGTGTAATGATTCAGTGGAAGCTGTGGCTGGAAAATCCAGTCCGGTTTATATGATGACCCTGTTAGAAAAAAAAAAAACCCATCAGAGAATACATGTTTTGCAAAGATTAGATCACATAAGATTTGAGTAAGGTTTGAATTCATGAGCTTGAATTAAGTTTTTTAGGGAGATGGACACAACTTTTTTTAAATTAAAGAAATTAATTAAACTATAAATTGGTATGCATTGCTTAAATAAAAAATAAAAAATTAAACTGCTGATTATATAAGTTTAAGTTTGGTTTTCTGTATCTGGGGAGGACATCTATAAGGGTATCTCTAAATTAGGAATCACTAAAAATGACACATCACTAAACTAGTAGGCACACTGGAGGCTTAGTCAACTTTGTATAAAAGTAAAATGTGTCTCAGTAATCTCGTTTATGATTTACGATGTTTCACTTCGTGCATAAATAGTTATAGACTACCCAGATGGCAAAACAAGTGGTTCTCTTGGATTTGCTCAGTCTACACAGGAATGTTTTTTGGGGGGGTCTGGGATATCTGGGCAAGCAGTGTTTTGGTGAGGTCTGCGAGTGACGGAGTACCACAGGGTTCCGTCGTAGGTCCTCTGTACTTTGCCAACCTCAGGAACACGTTGCTGGTTTGCCGGCTGTGGGCGAGCAGCGTGCCCTGAACTCCGGAGGCCACCGTTTTTTCCAGCCCTTGTTCACCACCAAATTACAGCCCTCAACTGCGCACACCACACCCCCCACCACAACACAACACCCATACATACACACAGCTGTCTGAGGGAGAGGCGGGAGGTGGTATTAGGAGCTTTTTGGTAGTTCCAGACAGAAAGGATACACGGAGTGCGTGCGTCACTCTGTGTGCGTGCCTTCTGGCAATATTTCAGAGGAAAACGTCATGTAAAGAAGATGAAGGAATAGGATTGGGAAAAAAGTTTGAATGAGAGAGATAAAGATACAGAGAGCAAGAAAATGAAAGAGGGCAAGGCCCTAGGAAACCTGTGAGGGAGGAGTCTAGAAAGAAAACATGGACCAAGACTGAGTGAGTAAGAGCATGAATGAAAAGAGATGAAAATTATGTCAGCATTACGGCAAGTGCAAATGTGTCTAAAAAGGTAAACCAAACAATTATGTGACATGAACAACCACTCTCCTCAGGAAAGTTAAAATTTTTCAGCTCCAGTTTTATATTCTATCACGTGTTACAGGTTTGCTCCCTCTTTCTCCGCCCAATCACAGACTTACAGACACCCACGGCCTTGGCCCATTAACATTTGGGCCATAAAAGACCCCACACTAAAGGGGGTTGACCACAGACGTGCATGTGGGCTGACACACAGTGCAGGGGAAAGCCTTGACCGCCAAGGATACTTAAACCAGTGAGGGCTCCCCTTTCCCTCCTCCAACCTTGAGCCCAGACAGAGACAGTTCTGGTCACGAGGATGAAAACTGCTGGTGTCATCAGTTCCATCCCCCAACCCCCTGGAATAATATCCTGACATTTAACGAAATAAAAACCCACAGTAATTAATTAGCTGACTGGCATTAAAGGGAAACCAGCGGTTTTCGGGAAGACTAATTGTGTGTGAATCAGAGGCTACGTATGTGGAGATGAAAAAGCCTCTCGGTTAATTAAGGGAGGGGAGAGTTTACGACTAAGCTGTAAGCTACGGGGCATCCTGAGTAAAGAAGTTGTGATCTAAACAACTGCCAAATAGATCTTACTGTGAGTGGAATAACTTGGGTAAGCATTTAGTGTAAACTTTTGTTTAGTATTGTTTGGTTTACCTAGCAACAGGTGCATGTGTCAAAGTATCAGCTGAGGAATGTTGGGCCTGTGTTCATGTGCGTGAGAGAGTGTGTGGGAATGTTGTGTGGTTATTAAACTCCAGCACCTCAGTTCTCCCATTCATAAAGTTGGGGGAATCAACAGATTAAAGAAAGAGTTAGTCAAAATAAATGCTGCAGGGGTCAAGCTCCAAAAATACTGGATCCTGCACTTTTCATCTTCTCAAGCCTGACATCATCAGGGCTATTTTCTCAGACTTTGAAACTTCTGCTGAAGGATTTCCAAATTATACATCAACAATGATGACAGACAATAATTAAGATGAGACTCATATGACTTGAATCTGTGTGGTAAACACACACACACGTGAAATATCATTCTCACTGCCTCTGTGTACATATAACAAGTTTCTCTTTGACATCACGCCCTTTTAAAGGAGACCTCATTCAAAAGCACATGTCCCTTGCAGTGCACTGTCAGTCCTTATGACTTGCTGCAGGTGTTGGCAGGAAACATGAGATTGGTAGTAAATAAGCAGATACACCACACACAAGAGGGCTGACTTGCTTCTTCTTTTAATTTAATCTTCATTTAAAACATTACAAAAAACGCCTTCTTCAAATGAAGATTAAATTAAAAGAAGAAGCAATTCAGCCATCTTGTGTGTGGTGCATCTACTGATAATGAATGATGTTTATTAAACTAGGCCAAAGTTTCAAATTGATGTTCATGTATGTAGAAGTAACAGAGTCAGTTTTTTGGAGGCCAACGTGGAAGTTAGCATCGCCCTGGTTCCCTCAACAAAAAGCCACTGCCACCATAACAAGACTGTAAAGTAGTGTTTGGCATGATGACATTCTGATGTCATCAACATCATCATCATCATCTTTTTTAGGACTCTGGATGTCAAAATTTATGTGTGGGGTATTTAATGACATATTTTGGCTTGTAGAACAAAATGTGAAAGTCTCTTAAGCTCATCTTAATGACAGGTCATATTTCAGGATTCTAATCAAAAACCCCACCGACATCAAAACGATGGAGCAAAGCCTCAGGTCTTCTACTGCTCTATAAACTCTGTTTCCAATAGTTTTTTTCTACTTTGGCTACAGTCACAGCATGCCGAAATTTTCCTATTTGCATCTGCTCCAGGCACACTAAGGAAGCTACATGCTAACACGAGGGTAACACGTAAACTTGGTTGCCGATTTTGTGAATTCCTCTCTTATTTCGGATCATTCTCCTACTGGAACATGTCCGCTTGTGTCAAGAAGTTTTTATTGGTGTTTTTCACAGTAGAAAGGATTACAATCATTCTTTGGCGGTGAAGAGACGCAGAGATACAGAAGAATCTGAAACGCTAGCCAATCAGAGCAGACTGGGCTTTTTTTCGAGGTGGGCTTAAAGAAACAGCCGCTAAATGGAGCATTTCAGACAGAGGGTAAATACAGGTGGTCCAGGACAGACAGTATGAGGGAAAAAGTGTTTTTTGATTATTAAAGCACATAAACATTATCTAGAAAAAACTTGACTACAAGAATGAATCTGAAAATGACCACATTGGGTCCCTGTCTAACATTGACTATATTCTATAGACTACTAACTTCACAAAACTAAACCTCACAAAGGGCCTTTTTTTCCCATTTCCTCTGCTCTGACTAATTATTCCTGATGAGCGCATTCAGTTTTTGGCAATTGTCATCCAACATGATTTCAACTGCACACAAATGTGCTCACACAGGTTAATACAGCAGTAGGTCTTGGCGTGGTGGTGATTCTTTTGAGCCAAGGAAAACTTCCTCTCTAGAGACTACTCATCTTTGTGTAATTACTCTACTCCCTAATTTATCCTTTTCCACATCTTGATTATACCTTCTAATCCAATGCACTCTGTGTTTCTAACATGGAGGGTAAAGGGCTGAAATGTGGCCTTGGTGGTGGACCACAAGCTGTAGATAAGGCATTTAATATTTCTACACAAATTTTAGGTAAGTGTCAATTTCTCTGTTTTATTTTGTTACACTACAGTAGAATAAACTGTGTAATATTCTAAAAACACATTTCCATTTCTGCCAAACAGATATGTTATTACTTCAATAAAAAGAGTGTAAACACATCTGAGGTCATGTTTCCGTTATGCAAAGGCGTGAGAGCAAGTTTTTCAGTGAAACAATCTGCCAGTATTTAACAGAGATAATTGGCATGAGCAGATAAATCCAAGGTTTTAATGATGTAAAGCATTAAAAGGCCAGTAAGCCTGTGTTCGTACTATTGGAGAGATTGAATGTCATGCCAGGTGAGGGCCATTTTAGAAGAGTTTAGACCCTGTCCTTTAGAGGGAGCAGTGCTCATCAAACCAGCCAACAAAAGGTTAAACTGCAGAGCTTCAAGGCTTTCCTCCTCCGTTCATAAAAAAAAAATTTAAAAAAAAAAAAAAAGCAGAGGAGAGCGGGAGAGGAGAGAGAGAATAAGAGAGCGAAAAACTCACACACGCACACTTACACATCAAAGCCTTGTCATCTGGCACTGCGGAGAGCTGGTTTGAATTAAGTTTAATTCTCCCCCTCTCTCGTCTTTCCAAGTTCATGGCAGAAGAGGGAGTGAAAGGAGGAGGATGAGGAGAGAGGGAGGGAGGAAGAGAGAGAGAGAGAGAGAGAGAGAGAGAGAGAGAGAGAGAGAGAGAGAGAGAGACGGTGCTTCTGGTTTTCATTAGGGCCAATTTTCTTATCTTTTTTCTCTGTGCTTTCTGGAGGCTCAGACTTGATCCCCTGCAAATGCAACGTGGCACAGGCCAGCGGAGGAATGGGAAGGTGCCGGCCGCGAGGCACGCATCCCCTCCCGAAGACGGATAGGGAGGAAGGAGAGGACCACAACACACAGATAAACAATGAGACTGAAAGAGAGAGAGAGGCTGTGTATCAGGTGTCCGTGCACATGTGTCCCGTCTGCATGTGATTGTAAATGTGTAAGCACATTTATGTCAAAGCTGCATGTGGGAGCATTTGTTTATCTATTACTTTGTGTTTTTGTGCATATGCATGCACCCTCATGTAAAGTTTAACCCAGGACCTTCTGCATTTTTATAAGCTTGTGTGCAACATGTGCATTTGTATAAACACATGACTATCTTGTATCTGTAACCGTGTTACTTTGCGTGTGTGTGGTAGATCTACGAGCTGCGAGACAAGTTTGCTGCCGTCCTGTGGGGCCTATGAATCGTCCAATACTGCTAAAGCCTCGGGGGACAAATGGCGCCAGGGTCTGAGGTGATACACACCCAAACTCTTATTTGCTTTCACTTTATATCTTTGGATCTCTTCCATCTTTTAATTTAATAGCCTACAATTACACAAACAGAACACACAAACACCTCTCCACATGCATGTTCTCATATGGACGCATGCACCCCTGAACTAACATACACACACTAAAACTACTGTTTAACAAAGTGGTTCCAGTTTAATGTTTACAGGGTGGGCTGGTTTAACTGGAGTGCACTGCATTATTGATTAACTTAATACTACATTGATCAGCTCAAATACAGATGAAACACCTCCAACAATGCCTGTTTAAAAGTTAAAGGGGCACGCCACCAATTTTACACACGAAATTAAGTTTTTGGATCAAAGGAGTATTACACAGTCTGTGAAAAGTGTTGCGTAATATCTTCTGCGGCTCTGGCTTTCCAAAGTTTGAAAAAAAGAACCCTGACAATGTCATCAGTGTTATCTCAGCTTGGACTTGAGACTTGATTTTCTAACCAAAAGTCTGCATTACAAACTGGAGGTGTGGTGTTTGAAAGAGGTGGGGATTTAGGAGTCAGTAGTCTTATGAAAGATGCTACTGAGTTGCATTATGGGAATTCTTGCAGGATCCTGTGTTTTTGTAGTGTGATCCACATGGGACGGAGTCTTCAGGATATCTCAACCTCTGCTACATGAATTTTTCTTTTTTTTAGTCTGTGTTTTAAAGGTCCAACAACTTCATGGAATTGAATGCTTAATGGCTGGAGTACAAAAATGATCTGATTAAGTTTATACCGGTTAATAGTAAACATGTTCAAACTGCAAATCCACAACACTGAAGTTCTGCAGAGAGACAGGCCTATCCACCCCCAGCCATCAATCACTGTTGTAATTACAGCATATCATACGGGGTAAACTGTGAATAAAATATTGCAAAATAGTCATTAAGTGTAAAAGAATCAGAAAATTAAATTTGAATTACAATCTAAACTGCATCAAACAGCAGCCTCTGTGGCCCCAGAGCTGCAGTGACAGCACATAAAGATGTGTAAAGTAAATCTGTAACTATAAAATTTGTAACCAACTGTCGTAGTGTTGTAGCAGACATCTATTTAATGTTTTGGATTAAAAAAACGGCATCTTTACTTACAGTGCATTTTTTAACATATATTCTCAGCCATATAAAACCATGAAATCATACAATACCAGCCTGTCACAGCTACACAAGACTGATTTTAGTGTTACTGGTCAATGATGTTTAATTTATATGACCAATACTCATACAAAAGAAATAGTATACAAATAATGTACCAACCTGTGTGTGAGGTAACTGCACTGGCTTTGGTGATGGATTATAAATAATGTCTGTAGTATGATATACGTACTGTATCTTAGGTGGTTGTCATCGGTGCATATGCACACATGGGTAGAAAGAGCAGAATGAAGGGGGAAGACACAATAAAAAGTAAAGAGAGGGGGAGAGAGAGCACACAGGGGTCTGGGGTGCATTAACGGGCTAAGGTTTGCTTCCGGGGGCTTGCGTGCCGAAAGCTGCGAGAAGACAGTGGCCTGTCGGTTTGATTCGTTTGACTCAGGCCAGATGGACGCACGGTCGCAATCATGGGTTCATCTTCAAAGAGAGCTGGAACCAATCCAGACCTGTGCCTTACCATCCTCTGTATGAACCAGAGACGTGTATGAGACATGTACATGTCTGTGGGGAGTCCATGGCTGTAGTGCGTCTATGTTTTGCACGTGTGAGGATGAGTGCATGTTTGTGTGTGTGTGTGTGTGTGTGTGTGTGTGTGTGTGTGTGTGTGTGTGTGAGGTTATAAATAGCCCCAGAAAGTGGACCTAATAGAAATCAGGCCAAGCATGAGGAGGAGCTTCCTACCTACTCAACAGGCCCCAATGGGTCATTTGTCAAACTATGCACTGCAGAGTCTTCTCTCCAAGTCACTCTGAGGGCAGGTATTTAGCATCGCGAAGGAATGAAATCTACAGTGACGCCACTAACATCAAATTCAAACTATAAAACTCGCTAAAATTTAAACTCTAATTCTCTCTATAGTAGCAGATGATATCAGTATCTTACCTAAATGCAGCCAGGTACTCTGCATCACCCATGGGAGGTTCCAGTCCTCCAGTAAAGGCCATGTTCACATTGAAGCCGCAACCTGCTCCACTGCCCACCTACAATACACACACACACACACACACACACACACACACAGCTGGGTTACTTTGGGCAACAGGTGGCAGAGAGACAGACTGGTGTTTCTTCTGACCTCGTCAGGTGCTCCACTGCCAGGAAAGAAGTTCCCATCATCGTAGCGATGCATTGACAGGTAGAGAACACTGGGGTCTGCGTAGAAGGCCTGCTGGGTGCCATTACCATGGTGCACATCCTAGGAAAATTGAAAAGAGACTGGTTAAGACAAAATCTTGCACAGATGGTTGAATTCAGAAAGGTTTTTTGCAGCTTTTGTGGCCCTTAAAGCTGCACAAATAAGACCAAAAGAAACTGTGTAATTCAAAGAGCACCAACAAAGGGTGTAACGCACCCCGACCTGGGCTGCCAAGCAAATAGCGTCTCGCTGCTGCTGAGCTATTTGCACATATTTAAATTATGTAATATTCATACACTTGGCACAAAATTGGCCCCTTTTTATGCAAATTAGTCTCACTGCAAAAACAGTCCAAATCACAATGATACAGTGAAATTATTAGCATCTTCAGAGAGCTGGTGGTAACTGAAGCACATTTACAGACTAGGGGGTTTCATGATTTCCCTCCGTCATGTTTTAAAATTCTTGCTCAAAGTTTTGAGGAGTGTCTCTGCTCCCCGTCGGTCAGGACCTGTAGCCCGCGGTCTGAATATTTCAGTCTTCTTTTCCTCTCTGACATTGTTCTGCCAACTGTGTTCTTGGCGCAAAGGCAACATTTATACTTTGCCACATGGATAATTGCAATCAGACGCAGAAAAGGGCAAATTGCACTCAGCTGCAAAACTTTACTGGTGCTGTAATATCATTAGCGTAACATCTTTTGTAAATCGGACCTTGAGACGGGGCAGAAAGTGGTTGCGAGTGATGCACAATTCATGGTACTATCAGCTGCCGCAATCCACTCTTTGTGAATCTTCCCCAGAGTGTGGGACAATTTCCAACTAAGTAGGTGAATGAAAATATTCTTAGTATAATTATCCTTCAATTCTGACAGAGGCATAACAGAAGCTTTTTCAACAAGCTACCAATACCTGCACTAAGACCAAGTGAATGACACTTTGAGATGGCAACACTGCCAGACAGTCATGTCTGTATCTCAGCTGCAGTCTTGTGTGATGTAAAAAAGGGATGGTCAGCAGGATTCAATAAAACACTCAACTTCAAAAGTTATTCACTTTTGCCAACAAGACAACATCAATTAAATGACCTCATCGTCTATATCCCAAGAATGCTTTAATACAGTGATCCTAAAAATGTCCCTGTTGGCTGGGGTGGCATGACAATGAGTTTGCTAGATGCACTAAAAGTCCCCCTGTGACAGACAGGGAGGAAATGAAAAGGCCCTTCAAAGGCTTTTGGGAATGGCCATGACCAGCCAGGGTCGCCACTGAGGAGCAGTGCTCCTAGACATGACAGAGGCTCTGTCATACCTTTTACGAAATAACTTCGTCCATTTTTTTTTTTTTTTTCCGAAAGAAAGACCATGTCTGACCCAAATAGCCAATACTTTGAGCCCTTCCTTCCTCTCATAACAAGTACAGCATGCAGGTCGTGGCTGCTGCACTTCTTCTAATAGTGCACTTTATAGTTTTCAACTGTTGTGAACTCAATGGCCTGATGGGCACATATACATATTCATTTGTTTCATTGTGGTTTATGTTACAAAATGTCCTGCCTAGCCATTTCTGAGGAAAAAAAAACTACTCACTATGCAAATAAGATGTTTAACTGCCACCACAACACTTTGTGTTTGCATTCTCTAAACAGATGTTTATGTAAGAAGCAACTCATAATGTTGTATGTGTCACTTACCCAGTCCACGATAAGGATTTTACTGACATTGAGCCTCTGCTGCAGCAGCTTTGCTGCTATGGCGACTGAGTTGAAGTAACAGAAGCCCCTGAAAGTGGACAGTAACAAGACAGTGCTATGAACTCCCTGAAATACATCCCATTTACAAGCTTGAGCAATACTGTACTGTTTGCAATACTGTAAATCTCACATTGAGAACAACACACATCCACTGACTGTCTAATGTGCAGTGGATGCTTTAAAATAATTCTTCACCTCCCAAATCATCATGGGTATATCTTTTACTTAACCCATGTTACACTGAGTTTGGAAAGAAAACTTCATTTTGTCATGCTTCCACAGTGAACGAAAAATCCAAAAACTGAGAAAATTCTTGATGAATTGAAGTCATTGGCAACCACATCTAACAGTTAAACTATAAACAATCATTTGCAAACTCTAACATAACTCATGCAGTGTAATCCAAGTCTCATTTATCCGGTCATATGCTCAGTACTTCCCAAACACATGCGTTTTCACTAAAAACGTACTATCTAAAACACTGCTCGTCCACACGTGAAACTATTTATGCAGCAGTGTTTTAAATAGCAATGTTTTAGCGAAAATGCATGTGTTTGGGAAGAGCTGAGCATACAACTGGATAAATGTGACTTGGATTATATTGCATGAGTTGTGCAAGAGTTGGTAAACTGATGTTTGATATGGTTTTGCTGTTGTTCAACATGGACTCCTATGACTTCAATTCATCAAGAATGTAAGAAATGTAAGGAAAATGTATGTTCTAAAAGGAATTGAATTAAAAAAAAAGAATTAGAGGTTAGAGCTGATCTTTCTCTAAGTCATATTTCTAGTTTACTTACATAGGCGTGCTCTCCTCAGCGTGGTGTCCAGGTGGTCGAACTACAGCAAAACCATTCTGTCAGGGCAAACAAAAGTCATTCAGCATATTTAACACACTTACTGTACACACAGTAAACCATCTTGGTACACGGACGCTGGTTCTGTCTGACCTTATAGCTGCTCACTCTAATCTAGTGATACTTTTTCTTTCTCTTTGAGAGACTGAGAGGTCAGATGATGACACGTCTGCAATGCGTGTTACCATTATTCTTCAAAATAATGTCTCATGCCTTAGTTCAAGATTTAAAACAGTTTCTCACAGGCAGCACAATTCATAAGCGCACACACACACACACACACACACACACACACACACACACAGAAACAGATGCTTACATCGGGTCAGTTAAGGGGAGCTTTGTTAAGGCAGGGACCTACGGGACTCCCAGCAACTGTTTTTGGGGGCTCCCACTGCTATGTGGGGACATTAGATAGATGTTTGGGCTGATGTAGAGCGAGGCAAGCTGGACTAATGATGTTGAGTCAGCTGCTATGGATTAGCAGCCAGCCGGGAGTTTATTGTAAAGACAACGGCCTCAGCTGGTTTGAAGACGCTCGGTTAAAGCAGGCCGCATATTACAGTATGTACATAGGTGTATGAGAGACAAGGGGAAGGGGGATTGTTGCTCTACGCTGAGGAAAAATAACAATGGATTAAAATAGACATGGAAAGAGAACTAGAAAGCAACAGATGGAGAGACAGACATTTAAGTGTATGCGTGGAGTAGATTTATGGCATGCTGTGGAGTTCAGAGAGTTGTTGGTGCAGGTGGAATTTGGTCATTTGGCTGCAAAGGATCCTCAGAGGTCTATTCGTATGTGTCTAAGCATGTGTGTGAATGTGTGCGCATGTGCGAGTATGTGTACACATGAGCATGTATGTGAAGTTCAGGTTAAGCTGAGGGCAAGTCAATCCTGTGAACTTTAACCCCAGTTGAAGTAAGTCCTTATTCTTCATGTTTTAGTTAAGTTTAGCATATTTTCTACTATGTGTGCGATCCATTTGACTTTCCTTTAAAGCTCTGATACTACCGATCTCACAGTGCACTATATTGAAAGACCAGGCCCTCATTTCTTCAAAGTAATCATGCCCACATGTAGTAAAAGTACTGTATGCAAGCACATATAGTCAAAAATATGGTGTGCTACTGTCTCTAAAAGGAACGTCATTAGTCTGTGGTAAGGTGGTGCTAAGCTAACGCTAAATGCGATGGCTGCTCTGCAGGTGGCTGCGGTGTAATACCAATAAAACAGGGCTGTTAGTGGGGACTGTTGGCATTTGCAGTGCCCGTGCGCCGGGCCTCCCTGCTGGGTTCAAACAGTAAGCAGCCATAGCCACAGACACAGGAAGGCTGGCTGGCTGGTGGGCGAAGCATAACGGGGGTGGGGATGTCTGTCTTGGAGGTGCTAACGAGACTTTGGGATGGATAGTTCTGGCAGGAGGTTTCTCTGGTCTTGAGGTGTTTGGAGGTGTGGATGAATAGTGCAGTGCTATGAGACGCTGCACTCACAGTGTTAACAAGCTGAGATGAATCCATTAACAATGTTCTCAAAAAAGTACAGCATTTGCTCTGCCTCCGTCTGTCTGTGAGGACATGCAGTTGTCTAGAATGTAACTCAACTGGAAGATGACAACTAAAATCAAACCCTTCAAAGTTCTAATCATGGATTCATGTTGGTGGGGTCCATCTGAGCTTTGTTTCATGTTATTAAACGCACACACAGAATTACCCACATATAAAAGCCAAACAGACACGACAGATACATGTCATCCATTAGTCATTCCAATCACTAAAAGTAAAGCCCAGCAAACAGCCACGACTTTGCTGCACATTTAACTCATCAAAGCATCCAAACTAACCTTCAGTTCTCCCGATGCTACTTTGAAGACCAGCTCCACCACCGAGCCGACGGCCAGACGAGCTGCACTGGATGAATGGACCTCGTTCCAAATGGTGTCACTGTCCACCTGCAAACACACACATGTTTATATCATATTTTTTAAAGGGAGCAGAAATATGCAACTCTATACTGCTTTCCATTTATTTAGGGATATTTGATGTGTGGTTTACATAACTCCAGTGTGACAGTAAAACTGTGAGGACATCCGAAATCATTTAGCTTGTGTCATTTTACATAAAGTTGGAGAGTCTTTGAAGGTGGCAATTTAGGGAATGCTGGAATGTTTTTGCCGAAACAGAGAGAAAACAATAGCGAGAGAAGCTGTGACGCACTCGCACATATTTAGAAGCTTAATCATACAGACAGAGTGGACAGCATCATCTCTGAATATTTATTTTAGCACACTATGGGATGTAAGAACTGTGTTTTAAAGAGGAACTAGACTTTTTTGTTTTGCCTTCACTTATTATGAAACAAATGTGACTGCACAATGTAATGGTGATACAATAATGACACCATCTGCGTTTAGATTGGTTCCCTATAACCCTCGCTTTCACTTTTGCTTTTATTTTAAAAATGTATGTTATCTATTTCCACTTTAAGAGGCTAAATTTCTAAGTAGAAAAATAAAAGGTAAAGGGTGTGTCAGTCTGGGAACATTAGTTTGCTCATATGTTGACATATCAATATGTGAATAAAATCAATATCAACTAAACTTGGTGTTTATTTCAGATATGAGATTCTGGACAAACCAGCACTAACAACACAATACTTGCAACCATACACACACATGCATTCACGTTTTGCCCACTCGACATTAACAGTTAATCAGCTCTCCTTTGGCGCATGACTAATCTTTTCACAAACTTTTTGGCAAGTCTGTGAGTCCATTGGGAAGTTATGTGCTTTTTTTGCGATGAGCCACTCCAACTGTCCAACTGCTCCACCTTCTCTCACACTCTACACACTTGACCTCCATGCTAAATATCAGCCTCCTAGGGCAAAACTTTTGCCTCCAAAGGTTGGGGAAATTTTTGTGGACTGAGTGACGGACCAACCACGGAGTGAGCTACGCAGCTGCAGCTGGTCTCAGCTAACAGATTTGGACAAGGTCAAATATAAAGGTGCTGGACAACAGCATGGTGCAGATTAAAAAAAAATACCTAAAAATATAATTTCAGTCTGGATACAAACAATAAGGAAATTAAAGCAGAGCAAGAAAAGTTGAGTTATTCTGCATTTATTTATTTATTTATTTCATAGAGTGAAAATAAGATTTAGGATTGATTGTATGTATAACTGCATGTGCCTGTGTCTGTGTGTGTGTGTGTGTGTGTGTGTGTGTGTTTGTGTGTGTGTGTGTTCAGCCATTGGGCCACCATTCAGTGGTCAAGCCTGATTAATGCTGAGGCATGCTCAGCCCTCAGCCCTAAATGCAACTGTACATCCACATACACACACACACGTACACGTGCATACAGGCCAAATGGACCACAATACAGTCCGTGATTGATTGTGAGCAGGGCCGTGCACAGGATAATATACACACCCTCCATCAGGCATGGCAGATACTGCAGGCAGATGGAGCACATGATAAACAGAGAGAGGAGAAGCTGGCAGAGGAAAAGAAGAAAAGGAAGGTCTGTGTGTCGATGTGTTTGAACTGTACACACATGTGCAGAGCGGGCCGATGCCAGAGCTCTAGCGAGGCTTTGTGATGTAAACCCAGGGCTCTCCTACTTTGAATATGTTAACCTTAACCTGCCAGTCACCCGCCCTGTCAGACCGCTGGCCTTTTCATCCACGCTGATGGCCTCTCAGTCGATACACAGGCCCGACTGGTGGATTCACCCCAGACACCCAGTCAGTCCTTCAACCAGTCAGTTTGTTAAGCAACTCAACAGTTTCTCAGCCAGCCGGCCGGCTTTACTTCCCTCTTGTCTCCAGTGACAGGAGTGATCAAGGCTGGAGGAGGACTCCATAATAACATCCACAGGGGAAGAAAAAGCCTCTTTTTAAGTTGTGCCAAGAAAGACTTTGTCATGAAATAAAACTGGTGCATTTACCATAGACTAAAAACTTAAAAAGAGGGAGTGAGGACGTATAGAGGGCGTTGTTGATGAGTGACTGACGGAGCAGAATGTGAAGAGAGAGAAAGCGAGGAAAGTGGAGGACGCTGTGTAGTAGCCGAGTCAGTGATCGAGCAGGGAGCGAGCGAACGAAGAGCCAAGTGAGTGAGTGAATGGGAAACTGGATCATGTATACAAGTCAGGTTAATGAGCACAAACAGATGCTGCTTTAAAGAGGCATGTGGAGACTGGGTGGTTTATTATTTCCCATGTTGATGTTAGTTTTGCCTCAAGCCAGGAGCAGGACGCAAGTTAGTCAGGAAAAAGTGAAAGGAAAGGAGTGTGTGTGTGTGTTTGTGTGTTACAGAGGTAGAAAAGAGCGGGAACGTGCTGGTATGACGGAATGATGGTTCCCCACAGGCTGACAGCCTAATTTCAGCCCCCTTCCTCTGTAAATGTGTGTGTGTGAGAGAGAGACTTGTATGTGTGTGTATGACAGGAAGACAACAATTTAGCCCCATTTGCCATTATAAAGAGCAGAACAGAGCAGCGGAGAGCTTGGGCTCTTCTTGTTCCCACCACAACAGCAGTGAGCCCTGGGGAGGGAAGAAGGGGGAGACGGACGAGAGACGGAGAGAGAGGGGAGGTATGGATGACATGTAAAAGAGATGGAGATGTAGAAAGAGCAAACAAAGGGGAATGTAGGTGGCTGGCTTTGGAGATCCTCAACATTGTGAAAAAGTCAACAACAACAACAACAACAACAACAACACACACATGCACGCACACACATACAGGTGTACTCTGTTCTAACAAATCCATTTCAAAAGACGGCACTTCCAGCTTTAAGCAACCATCTAAATCATTGCCTTAGCAAACAAACATCCCCAAACACACTGCTATGTACACAAGCAAAAACATACCCCCAACCATACCAATGCGCACGCGCACACACACACACACACACACACACACACACACACAGCTCGTATGCTGAAAACATCTGGTTATAATTACAAACACGGCGGAAAGGCAAGCAACAGCTTTTGTTGCCTCTGGTCCTTGAGGGGCGTTTGTGTGTGTGTGTGCGTGCGAGTGTGTTAAGTTTGTGTGTGTTTGTTTGGTGGAACAAGAACAAATGGGACCATTATTTAGGCAGGGGGAAGAGAGAGAGAGAGAGAGACACAGTCAGTGAGTGGGCGAAGGGGAACACAGTAATTATACTACTATTTGATGATGCTGAAACTATGCTTATTTGTTTCGTTACAAAGTCAGATGGAGCGGTGCCAGCTGGGTATTGATTAGATTAGCGCAATGCTGTAAAAACCTAACAGCCTATTACATCAATTTTCCACTGAATAAACCAGCATGACTAACACTGGCAATTTCCAAGTCATATCAGACACACAAATCACCAATACTTAATTACTTAAGTGAATATTTGTAAAATGACTCAAGCATGACTTTATGAACAAAAAATAATTTACTTACCCCTATGCCTCCACATGGTAACCTCACAAACATGGGACTGACTGAACCTGAAGCAGAGAGACAGAAATTGAGAATTATAAAGTGTGAGAGACAAACAGAGAAAGAGGGAGCAAAAGGTTACCAGGTGAAGAGGTAACTCTTTTTGGACTCACAGGCACAAACGGGTGCATGACCCCTGAAACTGGGCATTTGACTTTCTGACCTAATCAAACAGCAAGAGTATACAGGGGCATGCTTTAATTGGGCAAGGTGAAGAGAAAAAAAGCAGCTCATTGCCCTGATAGTTAGACCCCCTCCCTCTAAACAGGGGATCAAGATTTTAGGCCAGAGAGTGATCTGTTCTGTCACAGAAAATGGAAATGAGTGAACTTCAGTTTTCTGACAGAAATGTCTGGACTAGGTGAAATCTGAATTATCTCTACATGACAAAACCTTTATTTCCTGGGTCTTCAACAGGTGGGGGGTGCTTAGAGTTAGTGCGGGAGGGTTGGGCTGCCAAATTATTGTTTGATTATTTATATCATATTTTTTTCTTTTCTTAATTTAAAACATGAAATATGTTTGAAAATACACATTAACATACATTTCTAGCAAAGAAATCAAATCACGAAATCCTTGTGCAATCATGTGAGCTAGCTAATTTTAAATCTCTGTGCGGCACTTACCCATTATGGTGAGGTGAACTAGTTGGCTAACATTTGTGTGCAACTGAAACATATTGGCCAGTTAGCTGTATTAATATTCAGAGTGTATGGACATTCTTATGAGCCACAGTGGATCACTTTGTAACCTTTCAAGCTAGAGACTCTGGCATACCGTCCACCTCAGAAACCCCTGACAAAAAGTGCGGAGGGTGAGGCTAATGCCATGCTACAACTGCTGCTGACTTAGTAGCTATAGGCAAGCACAAACGAGAGAAGACCCGAAAATATTCCGAGAATGATCTTGATTTAACCTATGTTTTATACAATATATGTCAGTGGGAGTCCCTGCTCCGTCTCTTTTTGAACTAAGGGATCCTTGGCTTAAAAAACATTGAAGACACATGCTTTCTATTCCTTTAAATGTCCATTTAAACTGCATACGGCATTTATTGCCTTTGAATTGAATCTGACTGCCTACCTTGTTCAGTGTAAAACTTTACTTCCCAGATTTTCAAACGTTTAACTAATCTCAATCCAGTGTTGACAACTGGACTAGTGTAAAGTTTCATGAGTACAACAGCAGACCTCTGAAGCTCAATGGGCAGAGCATGGCACTCGCATTACCAAGGTTAGATGTCCAAGTCTCAGTTAGCCACCTGTCAATTTGTTAAAAATACATGTGTTCCACAGTCTGACAACATGAAACAACCCCTAACCAGATATCTAATATAATATATATGAACACTTTAATCCCTGACTAGTTGCCACATTTCAGGTTTTATACCAGTATGCATTTCCACTTTCTTCCTCTCCATTTTCATTTTTTTTGTGTTTGTGCAAACCCACCTGTATGCTGAACCTTACATGAGATTATCTGGTGATTCTCCTGTGTAAGCAGTAATAATGAGGGGAATATATGTCCCCACTGGAATGAAAGCTAAGATGACCACTGGGGTTTGCCCCTTGGCTTTCTGCAGTACACACACACACACACACACACACACAAAGAGACTGCCTTGGCTACACCTGCACTTTAAGCCACAAAGGCCAGACATAAGTGACAAAGCAGCCTCTGCGACTTCTAGTTAACAAGCCTCAGCAGTTCCTCGCCTTATCGTAACACCTCCAGGACTTTATTGGACCGGACCTTTTGTTATGACACTGTTTAAGCATTAAAGCAGATTCCTTTCACAGGCGCTGCAGATTCATGGCATTTAAAAAAGGACTTAGTCTGTGATTTAGTCAGCTCAAATGGACAGACTCAATGCTTAATGGAAGATGTATATATGTAAATTGCTGTGTGCAGTGGGATGTCTGCTTTGAACTGCATCTGTGCTTGTAACCTGTGTGCTAAGTACTTTGAAACACTTTTTATCTCAACTCTCATTCATTTCAATGTTAAAGCTTCCACACACCAGCAGACTAGTTAAGATTAAACAGGTGGACACCTGCATGGCTAGCACATTGCCTAAAAATCCATACTGTAATTGCTACATCAACCCAAGTTTGTAATGAATGTGTTTGTGAATTTGTGTGCGTGTATCAATGTGTTCATCATATAACTTACAGTCTAGTTTCTGCCGCAGTGGGTTGGTTCCATACAGCAGGACGTGAGCTTCGGAGTGGACCGTCTGTAGCTCCTCCAGCGAGGCCTTCCTACCACGGATACACTGGTCACAGAGTAGTGAGGAGATAGAGGAGAGGACGACAGAGGAGACAAAGAGAGACAGATAATGTATTTAGTTAAAAATCAGCACTCACCGTCCAAACTGCCATAGTCACCAAAGAGGAAGGAAAGGATAGTTGCATTGTTTGAAATTCAGGATGCCATGTCCCACAGTCATTAGGAAGCAGAACATATAGTGAGGCTCAATGGTGTCAAACAGATTTTATTTACTGACAATATGTACAGAAAAGTAAATCACATATATAAATAAATAAATAATACCCGCATAGCCTCACCAAAAGGCACTACATTTTTATACAATTTGATCCAAAGGATAAAATATAATAAAGCCCAAGGGCTTATTTTCATTGTGGTCTTTAATCTGTAATGTCTGCATTGTGTAAATTACACTTCAGGAGGTGATACTGGCTCAATTTAAAGCCATTTCCCCAAAATGTGTTTTCACTGGTAAAGCCAAGAGTCAGAACAAAATGGCTACACACTGCCCTCCTCTGGTCATAATAACAACCTGCACCTCAGAGTTAAATATCAACATGTTTCACACCGTAACCACTGAATCTTTTGCATTGTATTATAGAACAGCTGGAGAGTGGCAGGAAGCAGGGTGTTGATGTGCAGCAAAGGGCCGCAGGTAAGACTTGAACCTGGGCCACTGCTCAGATTTCAGTCTACATGGTGTGCACTTTTATAAGCTAAATGTTGCCCTTGACCATTGAATCTTTTTTTAAAGTATTTTCAACAGTGTACACAGAGAAGAAGTATCTTCTTAGTATAGTAACTATCACAGGGCTGACACATAGGGACAGACAACCATTCACTCTCACACTGACACCTATGGCCAATTTAGAGTCACCAATTAACCTGCATGTCTTTGATTGTGGGAGGAAGCAGGACAACCCAGAGAAAACCCATGTGGACACTAGGAGAACATGCCAACTCCACACAGAAGGGCCCCGGTTGACTGGTGAGTTCGAACCCGGAACCCTTTTGCTGTTAGGCAAAAGTGCTAACCACTGCACACTGTGCTGCCCTACATAAAGTTACTTTATGTGTTACCCCTAAATGACGACACTATAGTTTAGATGAAGGAGGAAGACAGATTTGCAGCAAATCCATTTTAATACTTGACTTACTGTAACTCCAGGACAGGACAATTCAAGTCTATCGTTTTACAAATATGGTGTCTTTTCACCTCTGTATCTCATAATGTTACATCCACTGGGCCAAACCTCTGTGGTCATGTGTCACTGTGGCCTTACCTCACAGTGCGCCCTGAGGCCTGTTTCCTGTAATCGAGACCAGATACTCTGGATTCGGCCAGCATGCTCTGGATGACTGGTGGTGTTGCCGCACATACACTGGTGCTTCTGCATCAAAGAGTCATACACCAGACCTGGAAAATACAAACATAAACACACACAGAGTTACAGTATTTCACTGACAACAAAGACAGAACAGTTACAGTCACAGCAACAACTCCTATAATCACACTGTAAGTCTTATGGTGTGATTCTCTATTGCACGTGCTTCATCATAAAGAAAAGGTCATGTGGAGAGGGTCCAGGGAGATGAGATGCTTCTGTACAGTAAGTAACACTTGTACAGGGAACTATATTGTCAGGAGGCTCAGAATACATAACATATACACAACCTCCGTATGTTGGCTCATCATGCTGTGTGGTTCCAGGAAACAGTTTCTTCTAACCTGCAATCAGCAGGATTAAAGTGTGTTTATTGCTGGTTGCCACTCTACTTTACGAGAGATCTTTGTGTGAGAGCAGCACACACATCAACAACACACAGAATTTTAGCTGTAGAGTGTTTTTTTTTTTTTTTTTTTTTTTTCAGCAGACCTGTAGTGAATCGAGGCTTGACTGGCGGCTCCTGAACAACCATGGGGAAGGAGGCAGATGCTGGAGATGACTGAGCCCTAGAGAGGGGGCGATGTCCAGCAAAGTTGACTGATAATCCGGCTGCTTCAATGGAGGCTTGGTAGTTCCTCAACTGGTGGATCCGCTGCTGCTCTAGCAGCAGAGCCTGCTGCTCACGCACACACAGACACACAGACACACAGACACACAGACACACACACACACACACACACAGGGCGACATGTACTGCGTGACTGCTGGACTGCAATGTCTTTCTCTTGCCAGAAGATGGCACTGGATACTTACAAATACCATATTGCTGTTACACACAATTTAGGCTTCATTAGAGTTAATATTTTGTTACACAGTGACATACGTGTTTTCAGTTGTGTACAGTGTTGACATGACAACATCACACAAATATGGTAGTAATGCAAGACAATATGTCAAATATTTAAATGATAGGTTATTAACCTAAAGGTCATAGCGTTCATGAGAGCACTCGACTGAAAAGACAATACTTAAAGCTGCCTTGTGACAAAGATAATGGATACTATAAAACTAAAACGACTTTATTCTTGAGTGCACATAATGATCATTCTCTTTATGTGATTATAGAAGGCACAGCCTACAACAATGATCTAATAGTAGACACACAATTAGTGCCTTCAAACAGCAAAGTGAGGCATATGTTTTTAGAATGTAATGGTATTAATGCTTTCATGCTTAAGTGTCTCGTGTAAGCGCTAAAAAACCTTAACCCAAGTATCTGTATTTATCGTAGTTCAACATCTGATCTTTCCACTCAAATGAGTCTCACCAAGCAATCCTGTTGTTCAATTCTGATGGGCGTGTCTGCTTACATCGGGCGCCATGGCGACAGTGAGAGGAGTGCCTGATTGAATTTGGCTGAGCGGACAGCAGGGATGGGCTAGACAGACGAGGACACGGTGTCCTGACTGTGTATGGGTGTGTGTGCGTGTGCGTATGCAACACAGAGATAGAAAATGTATATGTCCATGGACAAGTAATGCTAAATCGAAGACTGTGAAGGTTTCTGTGTGGGTGAACAGAATGAATTTTGAAAGAATGAGTGTGTGATTGTCAATATGGAGTCACGCTAGGGACAAGCGTGGAGGAGGCACACATGCCCTGAGCCATTAAAAAAAATAAAATAAAAAAAGAGACCACTCTTCATTAGTAGACCAAGTGTAGTGTGTGTAAGTACGCTCTGCATGACTAAAAACTTAAAATATGCTGAAGAGTGGGCTGGACAGACAGTCAGGAAGAAAGGCAGATCGAATATAGTGTAATGTTTCAGTCAGTCACTACTAGCTCCATCTGTCACTGCTGTAAGATCATCCATTTTCCTTAAAAATGTTGCATGCCTCCACAAACCAGTCAAGCTGCACTTACAGTTGTGAAAACATGGATGCTTCACACACATCTCCCCCCCGACAGCACAGATGATCTATATAATCAGCACAGCTTCAAGGTGGGCACCCAAGATTTGTGTCACCAACTTAGTATCAGACCAAATGTCTCCCCCTCTGTTCCTGAGTTTAGATGTTGAGTAATGGATGTTTTTGCAGAACATTATGACGTCACAGAGAAGTTGACCTTTGACCTTTTGGATATATAATGTCATCACTTCATCAGTTTATCTTGTTAGACATTTGTGTGAAATTTTGTCATAGTTGTCGTATGAATTCGTGAGTTATGCCAAAAACATGTTTTCTGAGGTCACAGTGACCTAGATCTTTGACTGTAAATCCACAAATTCTAATTAGTTCATTGCTGATAGCAAGTGGATGTTTGTGCCAAATTTGAGGAAACTCCCTCAAGGCCTTCTTGAAATATGGTGTTCACAAGAATAAAACGGATGCATGGTCACAGTGACCTTCTCACTACCAAATCAGGTTATTCTTGAGACCACACGGGTGTTTGTGCCAAATTTGAAGAAACTCCCTCAAGGTGTTTTTGAGATGTTGCATTCATAAGTATGGCATGACCGACGGATGGACGGACAGACAGACAACCCAAAAACATAATGCCTCATAAAGCCAGCGCTGAGGCATAAAAATCACCACAACACTGAGGCAACCAGTGAAAAACATTCCTCTATAATATCAAGCTGCAGTCACTTTGAACCTGACTGCATATACATGATGAGATAATGTTACTGAGATGGGATTTGATGCAAACTTGGAATGCATGCAAGAATGAAATTTACAAGCGGATCAGTTACATCATCCCTCTTATTATTTTTACTCTGGGATATTTGAAAAGAAGATTGAACCTGTGGAATCTGCATTTTAACTGACTGTAATTTCACGCCCAGTCAGTCTCCAATTTCCATCATTCATTTTTTATCTCACTGTCCTCCTACTTTTCTTTTATCTGTGTAGCATTTTTATTCTATCTGCTTTTCTCCCCTACGTCGTCTTCTAGTCTCACTTTCATCTGCACCCGTCCTATCTCCACACTCCATGTCCTTACCTGTCGGAACAGAAAGTCCTGCTCAGCCTGTCTCTCCCTCTTCTCCCTCTCCTCCTGCTCTTGGGGGTCTGGGGGCTCCTGCTTGATGACAAGCCCTCTCAGAGGCCCCGTCTCCTGCGCGGTTGTCGAGGAGGAAGAGGATGAAAGGGAGAGCCCCTGGTGCTCCCTGAGCTCCTCTTCCGTCTCTTCTGGGTGACTCTGGTGTTGCCTGGCTGGCCCTGAGGCGCTGGAGCTCGCGGCTGAGACCTGATCGCTGGGCTTGGACATGATCTACGAGACGGAAAGGGGAATTCAAGTCAGAGATTTTACAGAGCATTGACGATTGGGGGTCTAATTTTTACTCTATAATGCAAATAAACAAAATCATGGTACACTCTTGCACCAGTGACTGCAAAAGGCAAAGATAGTAGATACTTTCAAAATTTTGGTTTTTCAGCCCCGAGTAGTGTCTGCAGGAATTCCTTTAAGGCTATATGCAGACCCAACCAAGGTTTTTCAAAGAAGGCTGGGACACGCTCAGACAGCAGTAGAAATAAAAGGACAGTGCCTGCTCATGTGCTCTTTAGTGTGCTTTTTTAGCCTCTTTGGGTACGCTGGGCCTGACAGAGCTTTTCAGTGCACTCAGTTGGATTGCGGCTGATATGCAACAGAATGTTAACATATAAAAATGGTTTGTTTATGGTCTCTCTTACTTCAGACATTTTTAGCAACTGAGGAGTTGTAATTCTCATCTATATCTTCATTGTTCATGCAAAAATATTCAAACTCAACACCAAATGGGACACCTCAGTGAAATGAATTCATCATCCTCAATGTTCTTTAAAAGTACACCAACTATTGGGCCTTTCAGCAGGAGCAGACCAGAATTCACTGCATGTGTTTTATCCCTAATCCTAACCCTTTTTTTAGTAGGGCAGCCTGTATGTAGCCTGAGAGGTGAAACCCTGTGCAAAAAAGAAAAGAAAAAAGAAAAGAAAAAAATCCATTTGCCGCGCTACTTATTGCTGCTCCTTAAGTTGATTGCTCTGAGCACACGGTAATAGCTGAAGGAGACTCAGGTGAACTTTTCAACATTTTTATGAACTCCTCTTCACTCATCTGGACTATGATGGCTGGTAAGAGGCTGTGATTTCCACTGGGGACGCTGTTTATTTGAGGCTGGAAAAACTGCAAATTATGTCTCATTAAGAGAAACTAATAATCAAAGTTTTAGCAACAAAAATTACAAATAATAAAACCAGAATCAATCAGGACGAAAAAAGAACTGTAGCTTCAACAACATGAGAAAAGAGGGCAGGGAAGCATTATGAACTGAGAGAACATCAGGGACAACAATGCATGATACCATACAACCTGCACCAATATAAGTGTTGGTCTGTTCAAGATGTTTTTCATTCCAAAAATAGCTGACTGATCAGTTGGAGTACAAAACAACAACGTAAAAGACCTTAAGGTTAACCAAACAAAGGCTAGCATTAGCGAGGCACTTGTACATTTTGTACAGATAGAGATAACCCGGAGCTGTACTCTGAACTCTGATATGTTATTTATTTATTTAAAGATTTCCATGACTATATTTGAAATTCATACACCGGTTGTAAACTTTGCCTGGGCCTGCACAAGAGGAGAAAACTGAGGACATGAGGGAGAAAGAGAGGAAGAGTCGTAGAGGGGTAATTGTAGGAATCTTGTTGTGGCAGCTGTCCCCGTCCCTGTCATCAAGGACCTCAACCTTGATGTGTAGGTCATGACTGAAGCCAACGGACCACTGTTTGTGCATGGAACACATACACACACAGAGACACAGAGACACACACACTTGGCTGGCATATTGCCCAGGGAACAGTCTATTGACGTCAGAGAGCAGGCTCTTGCCTCATCCCAGTCCCTCTTCTACAAACAAACTCAAAACACTCATCCACTCCTGCGCAGCACTGATTCTCGCCCGTCCTTTCTCTTGTTTTGCTCTCTTTCTCTCCTTCCAACCCTCCTTTTAAAAAGAGGAAATAGTTGCCGGGATATGAACTATGTGGGGGACAGACACTAAATAAGCCTGCTGAATCAGATGGAAGACAAAGAGAGCGGGAGGTGGAGATGGCAAAGGTGACTGTGTACACAAACACTTGACACTAGTTGACTCATATCACTGTCTGTGTGTGTTGTTCTCACACGCTTCCACAACAATGTTATGTAAGGGACACCCAGGGTATTGCCCTTTCTGCCTCAGGTAATTACTGGTAAGCAGCGGGCTCGGGCTGGAACCATTTCAGGATTCTTTAATTACTTTCTTTGCTGCCAACATGTCCGACAGTTAGAGCCAAAACTTAAGTTAGCAGGAAGGGCCACATTTCATTGCTGACTTGACTAGAAAATGTGAACACGGAAAGGGTGATTCATGTTTTATGAAGTGGTGGAGGTTCAATGGTGAACAGGAAAGATCAATGAAATTAAACATACCGTACCACTGGGACATTTGTAAGGATGGTTTGTGATACTAAGTTTTAAAGAGTTTTAAATTTTTTGCTAAATTAAGGAAAATTTCATCGGGAAACTGAGAGTGACGAAATTTTACACCATTTCAATATATAAATTGTCCCATTGAATAAGTGATCTTAGGACGATCTGGGGATGACTACACATCAAAAACAACCCCAGGTCTTATGGCACGTTTTGGCCTTTCTTCTGCTACTTTTTGGATAGCTAGCTGTCAGCATGTATCTTGATTGAGCATGCTAATTAAGGAGTTTTAATTAATCTATTTCCATTTATTCCTTATTACATATATTTCATAAATTCGTTGTTGACTTAAAAACTTAAGTTTGCACACAGCCCATACTGTCAGCTCAAATTTAAAGGGACCTTTCCCCATTAGTTAGGTCTACCTGTTAGCTAGCTAACTCACCACATCGCACATTTCATGATGACTGTTGACTATCTGACAAACCAATGGGCTTGTTTGGCAAATTAATGGATTATGTCTATTTATGATATGGCAAAATGTTTGTTTCTATCTGCATATGACATAATAAATAAACATAAATACATCCGAGCAAATAACCTTAAATTAATTCACATATAAAGTTTCCACCTTGAATAATCCCAGAATTTCACAACCCTACTCATACATATGATAAGTACCAAATTTAACAGCAGCCATGATGGTCCTTATCTCTATAATAAAAAGTGGTATAAAATCATTCTGCAGAGATGTGCTGCTTTTGGGAGTATTGTAATTCCTCATGTTAAATGGAAAGTGTATTGTTTTTTAAAACCTGACTTTATTATGCAGCACTCAGAAGTATTTCTTGGGGATACTTCCACATTTTCCGTTGTGCTATGTTGTTTGAAAAGCAGTAAAGAGACAAAACAAAGTCAATGACTAGCTGGGGACATGTTATTTATTTATATTCAATTTTGTAAGAATGAGACTATAGGGTGTATGCAACTCCAATGACTGTGGAGCTGTGTAGTCATATTAGAAAGAAACACAATGTACTTAAAAAAGAAATCAAACTTATTATATTAGCCAGAGAGACCATGTGTCAGAGAGCTGGATTTTGGAGCTTGGATTTGCTCCAATGGGGGAAAAGTGGCAAGTGTTTGAGATGGCTGCATTGTTAAGCAGATGTTGGTGATTTTACTGTTAGTGTATCCATAAATAGCAGCATTAATTTGGGTTATAGTGCCAATACTTTGGCTGAGCATCATCTGTAACACTATTACACGACTCACTCGCTCAAGTTTGTTCTTGCTTAATCACAGACTTCTGCTTTTGTTAAAGGAAAATGAAGGATTGGATTAACGCTGGCAAACCACTAAATGGAACAGGTTGCACTGCCAAATTTGCTGCAGCAGCAACACTTCAAGTGAGATCCTTACATATTCCTGGTGACATTTGTAGTATGACCTTCATTCTTGAAATGAGTGGTACAACACTGTGAAACGGTGCAGATCATTTGAGCTAACTGACCTTTTCAGGCTACGCAGAACATCGCATGGCCCTTGTTAATAACCACCATCCTCTCTGTCTCTTTGCAGCAACAACTTGTCACTGAAGTTAATAGAAAACTTACAACTTGTGAAAACTGATCTGGGTGCCTTTAAATGAAACAGTCTGAAAAATGGTGATAATTCAAAACTTTGCATCAAAGCAAATGCTTCGTGCCCAAATGCTGTTAAATTGTATGAAAACATCATGTTAGAGATAAGATACACTCCGAACAGGTTGCCAATCTATCACAGGGCTGACACACACATACATACAACCGTACAGACAAACATACAGTATTCACACCTTTAAGGCAAGCTGGGAGGAAACCAGAGCAGAGACGTCCCAGTTGGCCGGCAGGTCCAAACCTGGTACCTGCTTCCTGTGAGGCAAATAGGCTACTCATTGAGCCACTATGCCAGCCAGCCCTTTTTTTTTTAAATAGAAAAAATTCACCATCACTCCAAAATATGAACACATCAAAGGCAGGCAGGTAGCAAACATATTTCATAAGCAAACACTACTTGTTTAGATATCACAGCATTAGCTAGTGTAGATGTGAGGTGTGCACTGATGTATTCATTATTATCTAACTGGAATGCCTGCTTTGAATGTATTAAGTATCTACATTGAGTGGTCTGTAATTTGATACACTGAATTACAGAAATAATCATGTTTCACACATGCATAATGAATTTAACGCATGAGGCCAGAACATGACCACAATAATCATAGGAACCCTTTAATGATTTCTCAAATCTCCCTCAATAGTTAATAGTGTTCAGAGCATTCTAACTGAGAATGTGATGGGTTTTTTTTTTTTTTTTTTTTTTTAAGGCAGATGATATTTGCACCCAGATGTCTGGAGATAACAATGCCAATTTGGCTATTGGCTAGGTGCATGGGCCTCTTAGCAATGTTGAAATACGATTCTAACATGAACAGGTCTATTACGCTATTCTACTAAATTTAACGCACACACTTTACTACATCTGTGCTCTGTGTTGCACTTTATACTAGGTCACCTGACATTCTGGCAGTACATTTGTGAGTTTTTTCTCATAAATTTACCACTTTAATCTCAGAGCATATCCAAGACTTGCTGATACTAACTTTAACCGAGATCTCCTTGCCTTAATCCAAGATGCTTCAAACCTTGACGCATCACCGTGACGAGTACTAGCTCATCATGGCATGTAGTGTGATCCATTGTAAAGCGTTAAAGGGATGGGTGTAAATAACTCAACTGGGTGCAAACAGACAGTCCATTTTTATCTTTCTTTTTTTCATTTAGAAAACGACAACTAAAAAAATTGAAAAATATTCCATGCAAACTCATTTTTCACAATTCTCACTTTTGTTGCCTGTCAAAAAGCATTAACACAAATTAAAGTTACATGAAAATGACTTGGTTTTACACATTAGCTTGACTTAATTAGCAGGAGTAACAACAGCCTGGTGTCTTGAAGACGAAGGAGTCACCAACAACCCAACAACCCAAGATAATGGGGCTTAATCCTACAGGAGTTTCAGCACATGCACACACATGCACACACATACACATATACACACACAAACACAACAACAACAACCATCTCCCTCTCTACAATGACCTTATACTGCTGTGAATCCCCTCATCACCTTGTGCGTGCACACACACCCACACACACAAAAATAAAGCACTCAGCCACATTTCCTGTGCGACCATATAAGGAAGCAGCTTCCTCTAGAGCACAGTTGCCAGGGTGACAGGGAGAAGTAGAGATACACGAACACAGACAAGAAAGACTTGCTAGAAGACTTGATGATTGCAGGCTGATTCATCCTGCTCTTTGGAGCAAAGACAGGATTCACAGACATTAACCAAATCAGTGTTGTTTAGATGGACAAATACTCCTACACACACACACACACACACACACACACACACACACACACACACACGGACTCTTAAACACATTAGTACACACATGCATATTCATATACCTGGCTGCTCTACCACAGCTGTTCAAATATTGCCATAGATGCAATTCTTAACACATTCACACATGTATTCAAAAAGTACTTAGACATTAGAAATTCACAATGGGCTGATGATGAGACTCATTGAGGGCTTTGTGTAGATTCATCCCACCTCAGTAAGCATTCACGACTTAAGGAGGCAAAGGCCAAATGGTTTGAAATGTGAATAAGTCGTCTAACAATTAATCGCTACCGTGCACACAGAGGAATCAATTACCTTGTTGATGATGTGCTGCTGCTGCTGCTGTTGGAACTGCTGTTTGTGTTTCTCCAGGAACTGCTGGTGTTGCTGCTGGACCACCAGCTGCTGCAGGGCCTGGGCCTGTCCACACTGCTGCTGGGGCAGAGGGGCCGACTGGGTTCTTCCAAGGGGACGGTGGCCACGCGCAAGTTTGGAGACAGACGGTGATGGTAGTGGGAGGCCGGCCAGACCAACTGTGGGACACAGAGTGGTCAAAGGAAAATATTTTTAGCATTTCCTTAATAGCTGTCTGTCACTTGAACTTCATTCCTATTTTTTTTGTACATCTTTTATCTGCTAACGTAACCGCTTGGATATGCGGGGAGACAATGGCATGACTGGAGACTTTACAATTGAGTACTAAGGGGCATTGATGGATTCCAGCTTCACCTTGGTGACTTTTTATCACTTAAATCACATTTGCAACAGAGAATTAGAGTGGACAGTGGAACTACATTTATCTTCCCTTTAAGTAATACAAAACAATTCCTAGGTTTTAGTGCACATTGTAAAATGAAAAGAAAGAAATGTCTTGTGCATCATGCTCGTGATGCCTCGCTGTGTGAAGCTGTGTTTGTATCTCCTGAAATCACTGCAATTTAAGCTGTTGAGCCAAATGTTTTCACTGCAAATAGGACTGCAAAAATGACAAAAATGAGCCACAAGTGCTAAAAAATAAACAGGAGGAGGTGAAAGGAGGTGCAGACAATAATAACAAAGATAATAAAAACACTGGTTACTGATAGCTAGTTGAAAAAATATGCTGCAGTACATACTGACCCATTGGATTGTGGCTCTGTTCCAGCAGTACCATGTGTTGGAGAAGGGGGTTGTGACCAGCCGTGCCCCCTCCAGCTCCCTCCCTGTCCAGAGCCGAAGATGCCAAGTAGGAGGGCAGGTGGGCAGCGGGCAGAAACGGAGGGGTCAGAGGAATGCCCTGCTGTAACGCAGGCAACGCCAGACGACTCTCACCATCTTGATGTCCTGACACCACCTACGAGGAGTGAAAGAGAGATTGAGACACAAGGAGTGAGAAGGAAAGAGACAGGCGGAGAGAGGCAGATGGATGGAGACATAGAAGGGTCAAATTGAGACAGAATGGGAGCGAGATGGAGAAAGAGAAGCAGACATGTGAGGTGCCTTCATACTAAAAATAATTGATGAGGGCTGTTTTGTAAACTAAATATTCTTTGGTGTAATGAGTAACTCTGTGTTATATCATTATGGTATTGTGCAGTGACTGTACTCACAGTGCTAGCAGGGCCTGTGGCTGGCAGTCCCAGGGTGATGTTGGGCAGAGAAGGGGAGGTGTAGAGAGAGAGCTGGCTGACTGAACCTTCCCTTGCAGCCAACCTCTGAAGCAGGGAGGCCTGAACACACACAACACACAGTGAATACTCACAACGTTTAGACACAAAGTAGACACAGTGTTACATACAGGACATTACTTCCCCTCTGTTTCACACACACAAACATACTCAGAGCTTGAGCCTTCCTTTTTAAATACACAGACATTGCCAATCTCTTCCTGCAGCCTTCTGGTCACCTGTTTGCCTCATACACACAAATACCAAAATACACTTGTGTACATGTGCAATCATACACATGCAGACACTGGCAGTCATATGTTGGTTACCTCTCCAGGGCTGCTGGAGATGGTGACCCCATTCTCACTGGGGATGTTACTGGAGCTGTTGTTGGGGGAGCTGGGACCTGAGCCTGGTGCACTGTTGCATGCAGACTCTAGAGCACACAACAACACAGAAATTAGATTTTTCTAACATGCTTTCCTGAGATACTGAGGTTTCTGAGATGATATATGAAATACTCCTTGTCCTTGTTGTGTTATAGTCCCTCTGGAGTGTATTCATGTTGTAAAGTGTGGATTGGATTGAATTTTAAAATCAAAACCTCCCTTAAATAAATGATGATAATGTTTGACTTCACTTCTATGACTAAGCCATCAGATCATGATGGTGGGAAAAATGAAATCACTGATATTCCAAATAAGGGGTAGAGAGTGGATATTTTTATTATCTATTTACTTGTCGATCAATGTACAATTAGATTCTGCAAATTTTTATCACAAAACAGCAGAATCCAGCAAAAAGAGTGCTCACCAGCCACGTCTAGGGAACGTTTCTTGGCAGAAGTGATGGGACCGTCCTTCCTCCGGAGCAGAGGGCTGCTGCGGCGCTCCGTCACCTTTTGCTTTAGCCGTGAGCGAAGCTTCAGGTTGGGCTCAGAGGCTGACAAGACACAGAGAGGAAGTTTTGGTGTTGGGTAAGACAAAAACTTTAAATAACTGAGACCTTTTTATATATCTGTACATATATATACTTTTGAAAATATGTGTTGTCAATATGTGTTTTTGTCATCATGTGTGGCTTATCCCATCCTATTTAGCAAATGTGTGGCAAATGACTTAGTGGACAGATCTAAGCAATGGCAGGGTAAGTATCTGATTTCTAACTGGGCCACCCATTCTAAAAATATTAATGTGTTGCCCCCCCAAATTAGCCCCGTAAATGTGAAAATGACAGATTCTCTCCAAACTGTCTCTCTGGCGCTCAGCTTCATGGTTGATTGCTGGGCCCCACAAGTGGGAGCTTGTTGAGGGGCATGTAGTGAGGTTAATGAGTTTGTCCCTATAGGCCACACTGTATGGGTTGGCCAACAGATTCGGAAGCTGAGGTTAGCCATCATCATGTGACAGTGGGAAGAGCTGCAACGAGAGGGGAGGCAGCCAACTGGCAGCTTTCTTGACCCCACGCTTAATGATGCTGCCTCCGCACTCTGCCAGTGAATGCTGCTTGTTTCCAGACAATTACAAAAAACTGCCACTGTCTGTTGTCATGTGTGTTTGTATGCATACAGGTTTGTGTGTGCCTGGTTCTTTGTTACTTGGGGCTCTGCCTCCTGTTCTAGATTTGATAGGAGCTGTGTTGGCAAGTGCCATGTGAGGGCAGGACGGAGAAGAGGCAAGCATTCAGTATATTCTGGGAATCTCATCAGGTCAGGGATAGGACCTGACCTTTTCTGGACAATCTTGCTTTGGCGTCTCTCTGCCAGACTGTCCCAGACACGGGAAGCTTTATTCCCTCCTCCAATGGCTTCCTTCCGTTCAATTAGTTGAAGCTGGATGGTTGACCAACTGTTGACCCTATGCTCGTCCCACGACATTGTATCACACAAACCATGCTACGTTCATTAGCCTCAGAGAAGGAGCTGGGACTTCTTGGTACAGCAGTTGAGTCTTCCTTGTGTACTGCAGTGATTTATTGTTACAAGACCTATTCAGAGCCTGCATCAGATTAGGTACCAATGGGTGACCAGCAAAAAATTTGATTCTCAAGTATTTTGTCTTAATTTTATTTCCAGGTTCGGTTCTTGGTAAAACAAAGAATATGCAGATCTGATTATGGATGTTGGCTGACAAATACATTTAATAAAATGACAATATTAATGATTTAATTTAATGTACTCAGGTTTTAATCCTCTGACTGCTGACTTTGCTTGTTGGCTATGTCTTTTGTGCAAGCTGGAAAATGAAAGCCACCTCAATCATGGGCATTACAGGCATGTTAAGTGTGGAGATGTGCTGCTCAATATTATAAGAATAATAAGAAATATTCATTTAAATAATATCCCTACATTCCCTTCAATTTAACATGTTATGTTAGTTTCACATGCATGAAAAGGCCCAAAATGATCACTTTAAAATATGCTGCCTTACTGAAATATTTGATTAGCACAGGGTCATTACAGCGATCTCAAGTAGGGCCACAGATCTTGTGTCAGCTGGTTACGTCAGGTTGCTGAACTAATTGGTCATATGTGTTAAGTGGCGGTGCAGGTGCGGTATTGCACACTGCCAGGTTGGGAGCAGATTTTGAAAATGAAACTGGTGAAGGACTCTTGATTCAGGGTCATTACAAACCCTTGGCCTTTGCTTCCTGTAGTCTTGAATGCTTATTAAGGTAGGGTGAAGCAAAGTTTTAATGTACTTCAAAGAGGTGCAAGCACTCAATCCACCTCCCTGTTGGTGGGGATAAGATGACCCGTAGTGAATTTATAATGTCTAAGTACTTTTTCAAATGCACTTTCAATTTTAAGGGGAACGTGCTGCTGAACTTATGAAACTCAATTATTTAAAAAAGAGCTTCTTCTAAGTGGAGGGCACTCTTCCAAAGTCTTTGTTAAGAGGGATGGAGCGGGTCAGGATAAAATGCTATGCATTAGCGGAACTGGAGACACTAGAAGAAGGAAATACAATGAGAGAAGGAGCATAGTGCATGGAGAATTTTAGTCTGACATCTTGACATTACCAAAATTATTACAATAATTACACATTATTAAAAAAAAACAATAATTGAAAATCAGATTTCTTCCATTACTTTCTAATATGCTACAAAAAGCATTTAGTGTTAGTTTAATTAATGCAGGCACATTATGCATATGTTGGCATTTGCTGATGAGGTTTGTAGTAATTGTGCACTTGAGCATTCAACATTATTTTTAGTTATTTTAGTTAGTTAGTTTAGTTATTTTGTCTGTTTGATTCTGGGAGTGCTCTGAACATCCTTAAATAATAACCCTATCATTTTGTTAATGATGAGAAGGGTAAATGAAGCATGGTGCTGAGAATTTGGCTGGAATTAAATAGCATCCTAACTATACAGTCAGACCCGTGGTGTTGGAATTACCACAATCCCTCTTACAATACTCTTGGTAAATCATAAACAAACATTTATTATGGTTAGAAAATATAACCCAGGTGTGACAGGAAGCATGACAGGCCTCCATTGAGCAGACCTACTGACAGTCAGGCTGCAAAGGTGACAGAGACTGTGGTCAATCTGGTGGGTATCCAAGGGAGGAAAAACAAGGCACACAGAGATGATGGAGTGGAGGAGGCGGGTGGTCAAGGTTGTGTTTATGCGCCTTGAGTCATTAAGAAATGGACAGATAAAAGGAGGAGTGGAGAGAGAGAATGAGAGGAGGATAAATGGAAGGTTAGAGGGAGGTTAGGAGGACAGTAAAGGAGAAAGAGAAGGAGGGTGAGGTAGGGGTGTGTGTTTGCTGGGCACTGGTCGCCACGGGGTGTTCACCTCAGGACGCAGTGACTTTGAAGGGTGTTAATGCCGACTGGGCAAAAGCGCACCAGTGTGCACACGTGCAAACACACTCGCTGCAGAGGGCCCAGACTGGTTTTACTGCTGATGCTGGCATTTTACTGTAGCCCTCTCTCCCTCCTTCACCTCCGCCCATCCATCCATCCCCTCCTCACTCGCCCTCCCTCTAAATCCCCATTTCTCTCCTCCCCCTGGCATATCTCCCGCTCCCCTTCACTGTTGAGCCTTCCACCCTATTTTTTCTCCTAGTTTGCAAACTGCAAAGGTGTATATACTGTCTCATTACAGCATTCTTCACTGTCCTACTTTCCGATGTTGATGGCCCAGAAAAAAAAAGTAGTTTTAAACAGCAACAACGGCATTTTTTAAAAGTTTCTCAGACTTCCTGCTACATTCTGACTATTGTAACTTTACATCGTCTCTTAACAGCATGTCTTCTTCTGTGGGGACACTTATTGCTGAGGTCAAGAACTGTCTCTGCCGCTACAACACACAGTCTCCTGAATCCAAGGTAGCATTGTATATTCACTTCATATGCTCAACATGACCTGACAACACATGGCCTGTCCTCAAATGTCCCATCTCAGAAGAGAAACATTGTGGCTTCTCTAAGCGTGCTTTGCCTCTACATGTTATCTCTCATTACACAATGCTGCTCAATACAAAAAATAACTTCCAAGGTCTCTCCCTGTTCTACTCTCACACTTCAGGATAGCCATTAAAACCGTAAAGTCCCATCTGATGACATATCAATATGAGATTAAACGTCTCTATAAGTGGTGCTTAATATTTCAACGGGGAGTGGAGGAGGAAACTGGTTCTCTGATACAAAACATATTGATCAGTTGCTCATCTGTTTTGACAGATGGGAGTCCCAAGCTTCATGCTGGGGGAAGCCGTGCTGCTCTTCCAAGGAAAGGCAGAAATCAATAGAGTTGTTAGAGCTGAAACTAATCAGTGGAGCTTCCCAGAAATGTATGTAGATGATACATTATACAGATGGACACAATGTAGGTGGACAGACAAACAGACAGATAGATAGATGTGTTTGTAAATCTCCTGGGTGTTGTGCTTAAAGACATGAATTCTTAGCTATTTCCAAGAGATCTGTCTTCAAATTTTTAATCAGAATGTATAACATACTCTCCTGTGGGCATATAAGGTGAAAAACAGCGTGGTGACACCAAAGAGCTGACTGACATTTTCCCTCTGATAGTTCTAACTAATGACACCTTCTCATAGAGGTGACATGAGATTGTTAAGAACATCAATAAAGCATCTTTTATTGGTTGTTGTGGTGTTGTCTTTAAATGGGGTTGTGTTCACAGTGATAACAAGAGGAGTTTGTATGAACGCCCACCTCTCATGGTATTCACAACCATGGAAATGGAAATTTTCTGAGTTCACGAGTTGTGACGTGTTTGCAGACATTTTCTAAAATGGTAGAGGCCATCTAAGTTCCTGTTTTGGTGGGTTGTAAGTTAGTACATTTTAATCACATAGAGTCGGGTTTTGGGTTTAGGCAACAAAAAACAAAAGTACTATAGATGTAGAAAAAAAGATCATGTTTGGGTTAAAGTAAGTACGTTTGTTACATAACTTACGGAAGTCAATTAACAAGTATGTCAGGTGATATAGTATGTGACAAAAAAACAAAACAAAAAAACTTAGCATTGACTTTTGGTTTTGCAAGTAACATGAACAGCGGTCTTCTGGGTCAAAGTTCTGTGTTTGTTTGAGCCATTCACTACACCTTCCCCCCAACGTACATGAACGTTCTTGCTCTTCATACTATGTCATTGCCGTTGGGGAGGGGTATACATTGGAGTCTGTTGAAAACCTGGTACGCCTCATACGAACTTTAAAAGAGTGTGCTGTCTGATGGTAACAGGCATCAAAGGCCACTGTCCAAGATGCTGCATTTGATGCCCTGGAGATGAGCACTAGTTGGCCTTCGCATTTCATTACCTGCTTGCTAAACTGTTAGCCTCAGTGGCTACCAGATACTAATAGTGGTCACTGCCTAGCAGCGGTGTTCTCACAACAAAACCACCCCAGCGCCAAGCATATCTTGTACACGACTTCCCATGTTGTAACCAAGGCTGCCATTTAAAAGCCACATGACACCAAAGTGGGAACAGCAAAATAGTGTGATGTTCAAAACAAAAGGGTTTCAGATTAGATGTTTAACATACCAGGCTTGTACCAGTGACTTTGATTTAGGTACATACCTGGTGGTGGCTACATTCCACCGACTAGTCCAACAATCAGTAGGGATTCAAGTGCAGGGTGAGAAGTGTTGGAGGAGAAGAACAACAAGAAAGTAATCTCCAATGACGTGAGAGGAGGTTTAATCTTGGTTGTTGGGTTTTAAAGTCACATGGAAGGACCAATGTGTTGTATTGCTCTTCAGTGAGACACAGATCCACCAGCTAACTCACTGTACTCTGCACTGAATGTGTCCACATGTAAAACGATGTGTTGAATTAAATAAAGAACATGGAAGTGCTATTACTGTATGTGGATATCCTGCAGGGTTAAATGTTCAGTGCACAGTGTGGTATGGGAAATGTGTGTGTGTGACTGCTTGTGAGAGAGTGAGGGACAAAGGGGGTCACCATGACAAGTCAGCGTCTGTCATGAAGGCCTAACAGACTTCCTGCCACAGCATTCAAAGTGTCCCTCTGTGTTCTCCATTATCACAGAGCCCCTCAGACTTGAACAATGGACCCCTGTTGTAATAAACTGTATGCCTGGTCTCGCTTCTTAACGTACATCTATAATTTACACGCATACATTACGAAAAATGGGTCACCGCAGGCAAAAACGTCATGTGTGACAGCTTCAGTCGTCAGAGCGGCACACAACTGTGGTGACCACTGTCACTCACTTCCTCTTGAACACAGTTCATCTCTGTCTGCCCATCTAATCTGATCTACAGTATGCCTGCTCACTGTTGACACAACAGTTCCTCAACAGCCGTGCCGTATGTGTGCACGTCGGTGTTCCCTCTCTGCCTCTCCTCACAGCTGACACAGAGACAAAGAACACTGCCTACAAATCCCAAACTCCATTTCTCCTGAAAAGATGCCATTCTCTTTGTACATGCACAGTGATGTGCTGTGCTGTAGTGTCTGTTGTACGTATGAACTGTGAAACTCTAAGTTGTGAATTTTTCTCAGCACCACTGGCACCCCAAGAAATTCCTGAATTACATCTGAGTGTCCCTGAAAGTTGAAACTTGCCGTCTGAGGTTGTGTGCCAGTATAAATCATTCCTGCCTCCAGCTCACAGCAGGTGGGCAGGAGTGCAGAGTACACAGAGCCTGGCCTCCAGCTGTGAAAGCAGGCAGCAATACTGCCAAAGCAGCTGCTGACACTAAGTGAACAATCACAGCTTGGCTATACTTGACTTGGACAGAGGGACGGAGAAATAACAGTCTGAACTGTCCAAAAGGCAGGAACTGGTGGTTTTTACGTGCTTCCTAGGACACTTCTCAGAGTAGTCAAGGGTGGTTTTGTTAAACAGGATGATCTATGACGCCCGTGAAGGAGTGTGCCTGAATATCTTAGTCAATAGTCTAAAACAGGAGAATAACTCACTTGCTTTTGAAAAAAGTCTTTATCAAAAATTCTACAACTGGTGATGAAGCAAAAAGCTGAATAGAAGTAAGAAAGACATTTTGCAAATATTTTAATTTTCATCCACTGTAAGACCTTGAACCATGAAGAAATCAAGTTAGATAATTTAGGACTATTTTTTGGCTGCAGCCACGAACTTCCTGGAGTCTGCCTCTTGCCTGACAGCTGGTCCTGGCAAAGAAATAGTCCGGCACACAACCCCTCGTAAAACTGTTGAATTGTCGTTTCTACACTTTGGTTTTTGTACAAATTAGACAAACATTCCTTTAACACAATTTTTACTGGTTTTAAGGTTTCTCATTTGTGCTTCTGCTCTCCATCCACCCTCATTTACATAAGAATGGCTCTCGAGACCTTATAAAATAACTTCTAATATCTTTTTTTGGATACTATTTTAGGGGCTCCTTTTAATCCTCCAGTGGCTGACTCTTGGTCTATGTGCCTGACTTTGAAACCCACTAAGCCATTACAATTGCTAATGCAGGAAAGGAAGATTAGGGCTCCCTTCTAGACATGCAGTGGGTGGCTGGCTTTTAAGAGGTGGAGGAATACGAATGTCAGTAAGTACCAATACCTCAGCAAAACCTCGGGACCATTCTGTACCTGTTTTGCGGAGTGGAAAGTCGTCCTTTGAGTCATAAGTGCCCAGCATCGGGTGGTTGTACGCTGACAATGCTGTTTGGGGAGGAGAACTCTGGTCCAAAGAGCTGTGCTGGGTTTTTCTACAACACAAAAAGAAAAAATACATTTAATACGTCAGTATTTATGTATGCTTGCCGAGCACGCTGTATACCTATTGTACTTTACCTGACTTTGCTTAGACACACACACAAAAGGTGTAGCGACAAAGACAGCTTCAATCTCCCTCCCCAAGGTCAACACTTCAAAATATGTAGCAGAGTGGACAACTATGTGGGTGGAGTGGAGAAAAAGGGAGAAGAGAGAAGAGACTAAAAGCTGAAAGCTTGTCTTTTTCATCAAAAGACAACAAAGGAGTATCCTTTTGAACGTAGGGCGAAAAATGCACAGAGACAGGGATGGAGAAGGTAAGAGATGCAGGATGAGGACAGAGGTGAGGTTTAAAGACAGAAAAAAAATGTATAGAAGAACTGAGGAGAAAGCAAAAAAAGGTAGAACAAACAGGTAGGAGATGAAGAAATGGGAGAAATGGTGATGGTGGTGACAGTGAAAGAAAACCATTTCCCTCACTGATGGCACATTCTTTGGATTGTTCTATCATCTCCTGCCTTGGCAGAAACGTTTGACTGCTTAAAGCCTCTTCAAATATTTAAAGCGCAGGAGAGGTGCCATTGTCTTTTTTCTCAGCCCACTTCAAACACACGCACACACGAACACACCTCAAAGAGAGCCAGCTGTCAATCACTGACTACAAACATAGACAGAAACAAAGCCTCATTCCTTCAACGTTTTCTCTGTAGTTTTCAAGGCAACTGGCAAGGACTCTCAGAGACACTAATGTTGATGTTGGTAAGTTCTTCAACACGCAGGGACACCCACACAACAAGGGTTCACAGCACCACAAGGTTTGCTGTGTTTGTTAAGCCATGATGATGAGGGACTTTGATGTCGCTCATCATTTTGGCTTTTTAGTTTGATATTTTCTCAGTGTGACAATTTTTTCCGCAAAGATCAGAAAAGGAGACAACTAAAAGGTTTATGAGAATACAAGACAACAATACAGGCTAATATTTGATAGCTCGCAAATCAAAGGTTTCATTTGTGTGGGATGTTTCTTCTTTATAACCCTTCTTTTTTGTTCATTTAAAACAGGAAATGCACAATCACAAAGTACTTTCAGGTTCATACCTGCACTTTGGGTGTCTACTAGAGCATTTTTACATGCTTTAATGTTCAAAAAAGATTTTTTTTTCTTATTCTATGTGTGCTGGAACATCTGTATTCACCCTATGTTTGAATTGCTCCATTTAAGGGTCTCTTTAAGCCCCTGTTCTGACAAAGCCCAGTCTTCTCTAACTGATCAGCATTTCTGGGTCTTTCCAATCTGCACTCTTGGTGTCTCTACACCCTCATTGTAGCTGGGGAATGACTGTAACAGAGTACAGCGACACTTACCGTGAAAAGCTTCAAAATCAAAAATTTCACAATGATAAAGGTTTTTTTTTCCTTATCCACTGTGAGGGTCCAAAGGACAGAAGGATGTCGTATGCTGTAAAGCCCTCTGAGGCAAATTTTGATTTGTGATATTGGGCTTTAGAAATAAAAACTGAATTGAAATTGAATATTATTTGACACTTTTGCTACATTTATTATGAACATCCGTCATTGTAACATGATGGATAACACAGAAAATAAGGAGAAGTGTAATAGTTCCCCTATTAAGTTCTCTAAATGCTTAGAATGAAAGAGCAGACAGAAGAACAGGATTTTTGTTGTGATGTATAAATCGGTATTCTTTACTGAAATAAACTTGAATTTTGATTTATCATTGCATAAATTCTTCATTCACAGCCGGTCACATCCAAAAAGAGGTTCTGTGGTGGTGGGCAGTGACACTCACCCATACCAAAAGCGTGGGTCGCTGGGCAGACGGTGGTTTAGGTTTCGCTGAGCCAGGGCTTTCTTCTTGTTCAGGACAAACTCCTGAAGTCGCATCTTCACCTCTGTACTGGCAACTGCACCTGACAAAGAGATACAGAGAGACATGGGAAGCTCAGCAACCCAAGGTTTGTATACTTTTTATCACCTCATACAAAAAACCCCACTTCCTTCAGTGTTGCATTTCTTGAAACATTTGTGCTTCAGAGAGATGTGTTTCAGCACCTCCACCGTACTGTGCCTCCTGTCCAATCTGTGACACTAACATCAACATTATAACATCCATCCATATAATGATAATAAATAAATAATGGCTTCTGTAACTACTTGCAGCACAGTGTTGCATCAGAGTTTCATTGACATTCCACAGAGACAGCAGTGCTCTGTAACTCTCCTCGAAGACACACATCATGAGTTTCATTCAGCTCCCGGTCTCCTCTCAATTACCACCCTCATTTCACAGCTACAGTACAAACAATTGTCCAGGGAGGAAGACCTGGATGAGAGAGGGGGGAATGAGAGACCGAGAGAAAAAAGTGGGGAACGGAGTGAGGAGAGCAATCAAAGAGGGCCCGAGGGAAAAAAAAAAGGTGTTTTGAGAATACAGGAAAAACAGTGGAGGTGTGTTTTTCTAAGAATGTGACAGTGGGAGTGATAACAGGTGATGTGTCAAGCTTGAGCGAGAAAGTGGTAAATACAGTATGTGAACGTGACAACAGCTAATATATGCTCTCTAAATCACGGTGCAGCTGGAAGTGCTGACATCCCAATATGTCCGCTTTGCCACTGAAGGAAATAGGCTTTTATGAGACTGCCTTCTCTGCAATTTATTGCAGTACTTAACAAAGCTTCCTCTGTTTACAACTCAAAGCTCTTTCCATAGACGTCAAACCGTAGGCTCTCTTTGCCCGGCAGAGAATGGTTGCGGAAAAGGATTTTTACTGACAGAAAAATCATCGTTCCAAATGTGGGTCCACCATGAAGTATATTCAAATGAATGTGTGCTCAAATAATTGTCTAAAAACCCATCGTAGCCTGCTAAAAAAACAGATTGCAGCATTTTACAGCCACACTAATAATCAGAATGAAACACAGCTTGACTGATTTACTGCACCAGTTAACTCGGAAATATTTCTCTCATTGTTGCATGGGTAGGACCAATGTCAACTTTGTGACTACAAGCATCAAATCAAGAGTAATAACACTCTCTTCATTAGCAGACATTTTCTGAAAATAATCAGGCCTTTAATACCAGTTCTGCAAAATTCACCTAAAATGCCTATCCAAGGCCGAGTAAACTGAAAGCTCTTCTTGTTCCAATTCTAGAACTTACATGTTCTCATTTGTATGTTTTTTTTCCAACAGCCAGAATCACTGTAAGTGTCTCTGTCATTCAGTTATGTTAGTTTCAACACAATGAAATGAAGTTTTATTTTTATTTTATTTTTTTTTTATCTTTGCTTGAATATTTTCTTGAAAAAAGATGCTGCAGTTGACTAGCTGGGAAAAAAATGGGGTCATATCATGAAGCCTCACCAAGTCCAAATTTAAAGTAAATAACAATGTCACTGAAAATAAAGATTTTCCACATGTTCTGTCCAGGCGCAAATACAGAGGGGCACACAATTTACTGAGTGTGTGAATACGTGGAAAACAAGTCAACAAACACAGAAATATCTATTTAGGAGTTTACTGTATATAAAAACACCCCTAGAAACCCTGAATTGATAGGAAAGACTGTTTTCCTCTTAAGCCAGCATAGGAGTCATTTGTTTATCATTTATGTACATTGATAACAGTCTATGATGCCAAGAAAAAGTTGAAAACTCCTCTGAAGGTCAGGAGTGTCATTGACTATAAGATCCATAAGCCACTGGGCCAATCACTGGCAATTGATAGGCCATGAGGCTTAGAAATTGAGAGGCATGTCCTTTAACACAAGCCATCATTGTCTACTGAAGTTGAGACTGTCAGTACGGAAGCTCCTATTGGCTCAAGTGAGGAGTCAATGAAAAGGTCAGAGTTCAGTTACCATTTTGATATCCGAGGAGAAGCCAGTTGTTTACATGCAAACTGAAGATAATGTGGATAAAATGTGGAGAAATATGAGAGTTTAAGACAATACAATGACAGTTCGTGGATATCTTTGGATGTAATATTGTGTTTAGACTAATAGTTGAGTTATAACTGTTTATTTGCTTATCTTTTGTCTAACAGAAGCATTTATTGAGCCTGCTGTGGTTCTTGTATCTTGCAATGGTCAAAATCAATCGAACTGCAAGGAGTGTAGCTTTCTAACGATATGTTGTATGAGTAAACCACTTATACACAACAAGTGCAGTAACTGTTTACATATCATCATTAACAATTAAACCGTTCCAAAGGCTAGCAGGTGGCCCATCGGATTATTAAGAGACAACATTTATACTGTGTGGCTCATGTTGATTTGTGCATACATAAAACCACCCGCATGATGAAAGGAAGCACCTTTAGTGCATTTTAAGGCCCTTCAGGTCCTGTGTTAAGTGGAAACAAACGCTTTGTAACATATTTAGTGAGGCAATTATATTTAAATAGCACCTGTCAGCAACAAGGTAATTTAAAGATCTTAACATAGTGACTCAAGTCTGTCATGTCGCCTTCTATGTATGCGGTATTAAACAATTACAGGAACAGGAACAATAATAGGCTTGACACAACCACACACATTCCTCCTGCCAGGAAAATATGCAATTGTGTCAAAGCTCATTTGAGTATTAATACCAGGACAGCTGTATTTGTCAGTTCAAGTGAGAGCACTCTGTAGCAGGATCAGCATGGCTCCTGACAGTATGGGTACCATCAGTGCTCTCAAATCAAAGAATGACTCTGGCTACAGAGGTCTTGGCGTTAGTCCGATCAGTCATGATGGCTTTTACACACCAAATGAATTGCTGAGATGTGAGGAATGCAGCAACATTCATAGAAGGCAGTCTGACAGGTAAAAATGTCCATCAGTCAGACAATCAGATTTTAAACAAATCCCCAAGATCATTGAACTTATTTGGAAGAGAACACAAAAAGGGAAGTGTAAAATTATAACCACAACTGTGATTGTACATCGTAAACATCCATCACAGTTTTCAGATCGACGTCCTAATCAATATATGACTTCCCTTTTATGCTTTAGTTGCACATACACTGTTTAACAATGTAGGATTACTGGCACACTTTAGATTTTGCCTCTAAATACAGTGGTTTAGATCATCTGGCTAAATTGTTGGCTTGTTTACAACTAGTTTGATCGTCTGACAGCTGGTGTTTCTGACTTTTCTGTAGAAATGTCATAGTGTTCCCAGATCCCAGCAAGTAGTTTGGTGAGCACAATGTCATCATAAAGGATGCAATTATGGCCAAGGCAGCAGAACTAAGTTGAAAATAAAGAATATTACCCTTTTAAGAGAAACAAACATAAATGGATGAAGTCCAGGTACAGTGAGTTGCCTGGTTTAATTATATTGCTGCCACTCTGTTCCTTAAACAAAATGACATGAGGAAAAGAGAACAAATTATAAAAGCGTGGGCATGTGTGCCGCTTGAATGTCTTGCTCCTCTTGCCTTGTCTTGGCCCTCTTATCCTGATATTCCCTGTGGTGAATGTGCGAGGTCAGGCTGTTCTGACCACTGGGCAATAACAGGTGCTGTGACAGAGGGGCTGGAGTGCCCAAGTCGCTCTGACACCTGCTGTGATAATATGACACAGAGCTTCAGCACAGTTACAACAGATGTTAGCAGTATTCGGGGGAAGGAAAGTGAATGCATGATAGGTCACACATGACTGCTTTGTTTAGAGCTTGTTCATGACACTAATGAACCACAGGAATGCCAACCATTAACATTCATAACTGATTGGTCACCTTACATTTTATGCAGGAATATTTCCTCGAGGTATACTAATGCTCTTTTGGCATCTCACCACATTTTCAACAAGTCATGGCTCGATTTTCAGATGCGTAATATAATGAAGATGTGAGGCATTAAAACAATCAAGCTCACTAGCAGGTGCTACTTACTCTCCTGTCCCCTCTCCTTGTTTTTAAGCTGCAGGAGTTTGTGTTCCCGCTGCTGCTTCTCCATCTCTTGGTCATGACGCTGCTGCTCAATCTTCCTCTGGTGCTCCAACAGCTCCTGTTGGTGCTTGAGTGCCAATAAATCCTGTTGGTGCTGGTGAAGAGAGAGAGAGAGGGAGAGAGAGAAAAGACTATAAAAGGAAAAAAGTACAAGTAGAACTAGAATTACCACCTTGCAGTTACACCTCTATGCACCAGGTGAGTTACAGTTACAGTTTATATTCATGTCTGTGAAAACATGGACGCTTTACACACATCTTCTCCCCGACAGCACAGAAGATCTATGCAATCAGTACAGTTTCAAGGTGGGCACCCAAGATTAGAGTCAACAATTCAGTGTCTTTTCTGAGGTCACAGTGACCTTGACCTTTGATTTTAGACCACCAAATTCTTAGCAGTTCATTGTGGAGTCCAAGTGGACATTTGTGAAATTTGAGGAAATTCCCTGATGGTGTTCTTGAGAAATCACTTTCACAAGAATCAGATGGATGCAAGGTCACAGTGACTTCGATCTTCGACCACAAAATCAATTTAGCTCATCCCTGAATCTAAGTGGACGTTTGTACCAAATAAGAAGAATTTACTGAAGCTGTTACTGAGATAGTGTGTTCACGAAAATGGGACATACAGACGAATGTATGGACATATGCACTTACATATGGGCGGGCAGACAGACAACCTGAAAACAGAATGCCTCCAGCCATGGCTATTGCAAGTGCAGGGGCAAAAAAAGGGAACTACAAAGGATGTAAAAAAAAAGTACTGAAATGGAGAAGGCATTGTTTCAAAAAGGTGTGGCCATGGCCTGCTGTAACTACTATAAAGGACATGACATCAGCAAGCTGTGACCAATATGCTAAATGCTAACCAGGAGAATGAGCAGACTGAAGAATACACATCAGAGTTATTTTTGTCACCCACAAATTGTCCTCATTGGCTATTTTTCTCATCATGGCAACACCAACGAGGCTTTTTAGCAAAGTGAGTCACATACAAAATTCACACGCACACAAGGTTCACTGGGGCCAAGGTTCCCATGGGGATGACTAAGCAGCAAAATACTGGCTCTAGATCAGATTACACCACCATACTCGCATCACTTAAGTGTAAAAATGCACATGCTTCCTCCTGTCCTTCACACAGTGCATTTCTGCTGAGCACAGTCCTACAGCTGTATCAAAGGAAGGACTCCCTCCTCATCCACTCACCTTGATATGTTCCTGTAGCTGGACTTCATGTTGTCGCGACAGCTGTTCATGCTGCCGCTGGAACTCGGCGATCAGGAGCTGTCTCTGGAGCTGCTGCTTGTGTTTGAGAGTTACCAGCTCCTGCTGCAGCTGCTGCTCCTGGTGGTCTGTGGGACATTTTCAAGACATCAGAGTGTCTGATGTGTTTGTACTAAATAGCCCGGGCATGACTTTAAACCACAAGACATGACAACCAGAGATCATCATCTACTTACTAATGACTGTCCCACGGCCTGGCTCGGAGGATGCGGGACAAGCTGTGGGCGGTGTGGGGTGGGGCTGGGGAACCAGGCCGAAGGGGGGCTGCTGGTGGTGGTGGTGGTGGTGGGGGTGGTCCACTACGCGCAGGTCCATGGGAAGGATTGCTGTGGTGGTGGGGGGCACCTGCATGGGCAGTGCTGCCGTGCTCACGTCCACTGAAGGAGGAGGAGGGGGCAGGAGAGAGGGGGAGAGGAAACAAACACATAAAGATAGAGTTTGTTTAGAACATGCAGCAATAAAGTATTTACAATTCATATTTCTAGACTCAAAGGTATGGAAGCCCATTTCTACCAGTGTGATGAGAAAAAGATCATGCAAAGTAATTATGATGAGAATCTTTCTCAAAATAATGTCTCAGTATGTCAAAAATTGAGAAACTATTTCAAAATACTGACTTAATATCTCAAAAAAAAAATGAGAAACAATTACAACTACATGATTATTTTGAGATTCCAACACAAACTTTTAGATACTAAGTTGTTATTCTGAGATATGTAAAAATTACTAAGGAAGTTTGTCATCTGTTTGAAATAATTATTTTGAGATGCTAAATTATTATTTTGAGAAAGTTTTTCATAATTTTTTAAAATATTACATCATTTTTTGAGAAACTAGGTCATTATTTTGAAATACTAAGTAACTGTTTTGGGAATGTTTCTCATTATTTTGAGATATTAGGTCATCTTTTGAGAAACTAAGTCATAATTTTGAGAAAGCTTCTCGTTATTTTTAAATACAAAGTCATGAGTTTGTGAAAATTCCTTAATATTTTGAGATTCTACATCATTATTTTTAGATACTAGGTCATTGTTTTGAAATTCTAAGTCACTATCTTGAGAAAGTTTCTCATTATTTTGAGATACTACGTCATTTTTTTGAGATATTAGGTAATTATTTAGAAATACTAAGTCTATTTCGAGAAAGTTTCTTATCATTTTGAGATACTAGGTCGTTATTTTATGATACTAAGTCTTTCTTTTAATAATATAATTTCTAATTATAATAATTAAATGTGATAAATTATTAAATTACTACATTTATTAATTAATAAATAACTAAATAATTTCTCATTATTATCACTTCCAAGATACTGCATCATTATTAGTCATTTTTTGAGATTTTAGGTTATTATTTTGAGACACTAAGTCATTAGTTCTTGAAATAATTTCTAATTATTTTGAGATACTATGTCATTATTTTGAGATGCTTATTATTTATCTTCAGATACTTATCATTATGTTGGATATTAGGTCTTTTTTTTTTTTTTTTTAGATACAAAGTCTTTATTTTGAGATACTATGACATTATTTTGAGAAAGTTTCTCATTTAAGTGACTCACAGGATCATTTATTTCCATCTCACTGGTGGAAACAGGCCTCCATACTAAACAAAGTTGCAAACCACAGGCTAAAAATTTCACAAAATATGAACTTGAACTTAACAAGGACGACTCCTAGAAAGATATGTGCAGCATGTCTGCTTTCCACAATTAGTACATGTACACTGTGCCGTGAAGATTTTGACCCCAACAACAAATTTGTCTCAGAGGGTTGCTGAGTTCAAGTTGGCAGGAAATAAAATTGAATTCTTACTACAGTGTTGAGTTTGAGATCCCAAAGCCCAGTCTCCTCAGGGACTTATTAAAGGAAATTCATGTAATTTTCTTCTCAGAATATCTGTTTATAGTACAATTATATAATTAATTCAAGGTCCAAAATGTTATATATCTTCTGACAGCAGCCAAAATACTGTGTCCTCTCTGATCCAAATAACACACATGAACACTTGTTACATCAGCCGTCTTGACCCTGCAGCCTTGACTGTTGCACTCAGCATTACACTTCACATTGGCTGTTGGCAAACTAAGGACTTAAGCCTGTTTTAGAGTTGTACACATTGGGTAAGAGCATTAGCAAAACATAAAAAACATAAACTGTGTCTGTGATTTAGAGCCTGAGATCATCAGAGTGACAGTCTGTGCTGTGGCAGGAGTAACGTGTATAGGAAGCCTCCCTCACATACTCTTAACATACATCCATACCATCATCATTCTCAGACAAACCCTGTACACACACCTTCACGCATTTTCTGCATGCAGATGATAAAATAGTACACACACAAGCAGAATGATGAAACATGGCAGCAGAGAGCAAAAACAATCCCCCTGCAACATGAGTTTTGCAGCAGGGATTTGCTGACACGCATACAGACTTACTGTGTGTATTTGTGTGTGTGTGTGTGTTTTCACTTTGACTGTGTATATGTGAGTAGCAACACTACATTTTGCTTACTGTAAGTGCAATGCTGACAGTGTACTGTATGTTTGTGCTGTGTGTGTGTGTTTATCTTCTACAGAGAAAGCAAAGTTGTTTGTGATGTTGAAGAAGATGGATTCCCTGTGCCGTCACACATCTGAGAGGATATAGACAACAATACGTCTAAAAGCCACACGTTTGCATCCGTCACAATCTGCTCAGACACTGCATAAACAAACTGGGTTAGACAGAAGATCCTAACACAAAAAGGTCACACGTATTAAGCCCTACAAATGTCATGTCAGAAAGTAAAACTATCACAAAAGCCCCACTGAAAATAAAAAAATCCAAGTGTGTGATACAAAAAAATATCTCTTATGTTACATTCAATCTGCGACATCTACTCTACTTTATCTGAATAATCCACTGAAACAGCACAGGCTGCTGAAACATGGATACTTACAGCAAACACTGGAAAAGCAATATCGCTGCATCCACATGGTTGACATGCAAAAACCAGAGAATTAGTGCAATCAGATTATTACTCCAAAACAAGCAAACAACACAGCAGCTTACACACAAACAGTAGTATAACCTGACAACACAACACCAGGGAAACTAGACAATAAATCCTTAATATGTGACACGAACATATTGTGCTGTGAACAAATAGTCGACACGCCACTTTATTTTAAATACTTGCAGGCTTATTTTTTTCTGTCTAAAACTGGCAATAGATATGATTAGGTAGCATGAGCTTTAAACGTGTAGGTGTTTGAAAGTGTATTTAGGGCTGCAAAGTTAAGCCACTGAAAGAAAGGCAAACCAGTCTCTGGTTTCAGATGCTGTGTGTTACAAAAAACAAACAATTTTTAAATTTTTAATTTTTAATTAAATTTTCTATAGACAAGTTAGCAAGGCTTTAAGGTACAACATGACGAAATCTTCCAAAGCATGCCACCAAATAAATTCTCAAGATCGAAACCTCCCGTGTATCGTTCAGTCTTTTCTGATCAATATCTGCTCCGTAGAGAACCACCTTGCACCATGCCAAGCCCTCTGCCAGTTATCAATACCCTCAAACCAGTGGAGAGCATCTCCGACCTATCATGGATGTCCTTGCATCCCCAGTGACCAATGAGGTGGTGATGGAGTTGCAGTTACTTGCTGAGATAGCCAATGACATCTTTGGTACCGGGCAGGTTTGGAGTGCGGGAGGAAACTTAACACCACCCAACGGGACAGCAGGGAGAGAAGAAAGGGTGTGGCCGGGGCCAGACATGCTGGTGCTTCAGTGGTGCATGTGTGTGTGTAATTGTGTCACTGTGCTTGTGAGGAATTGTTTGAGAGCTGGACATTAGAAGTAAGCACTTCTTGTTTGGACACATATTTTGAGAAGATGAAAGAACAAGGCTTAAACCAGGGGTAAAGGTTTATTTTAATAAAGTCCACAAGAATCCAACTCGTGTTAATAATTGAATCATACACTTATTTAGATTTTTTTTTTAACCCGTTGCTTCGATCAACAGGTACTCTTACAAATGTTTTCAATGGTAAAGGTCAGGCATGTAGTGATGAAAAAACTATGCGAACATGTGTGTTAAATGATTGAATGATTCCTGGCCCTCTGACCTACAAACTTGTATGTTTGTCACTTCCAGATAAACATGCGCATAGAAAAAGAGGCCCATTAGAAGATGCCACTGTTTGTCATCCTCGCTCTGAGCGGTCTGTGCCAATCATCCTTGTTATCTAAACAAAGCCTTTCTCCCTGACCCATGGTAAAAGTTCAGCCCACCACCTCTGATGTTCCCTGGACACGCACACATGTACACACACATGTCTGTCAACTGTTTATACACATATTCAATATGCAGTAAACATCCAGGCCAAACAAACAAAACCTTTTGTTGGGTCAGTGCACTTCAAACGGAGTGCCACTCTGCACCGTTGGGACGCATTCAGAGGACCCCGGCGCCAGCTATTCCAGCATCACGGTGCCAAACATGCATGGGGCATCACCTCAATTAACGCCTTTTCTACTGTATATTTTCCAAGCAGACTCACGTCGGCAAGCTTTGTACAGAAAGACCTGCTATCCCTGTTTCTTCTAAATAGGGCTCTGGGTGGCCCCTGGGTGGCCCCTGGAGTTAGCCCAACACTTGACCTTGAACACCACAGTATTTATGTACGGTTCCCCAGGTGCCTTTCTTGGTATCGATGCCATAGGCTTCACAAAGGCTGTTTGTTTTCACAAACACATGGGGCCTCCCACCTCTGAAACTACAAAATATAAAAATGCATACATTCTGCCTCTACACTCTCACATGGAATAACAGAATCCATAGAGTCCTTTTGGGAAAATGAATGTAAGATGCAAAATAAGTGATATATGACATCCACTAAATTTCACTCATAAGATAGCCAATAAAAACACATCAAACATTTACAAAGAGGGTGATGTGCAGTATCATGATTCATAAAACAAACAAGTCAGCCACCAAGCCACCAAAACTACTCTGTGCACTTTGTCCATGATAAAAGGTGGCCTGAGCAAATGGGAATGCAGCCATAACCTCATGCAAAAATGGTTACCAAAACTGTAACAACTGATCTGAAAAAATAACTTAAGCAGCACCACTACACCCACAAGCAATTTTGACTGTGGCCATGAATTTACCACCTAGTTCAAATGTTATCAGACCATGGCTGTTATCAGTTATCTCTGGGGGCACAGATTTGTGGTAGTATGGCCCTACGCATACGTTGATTGTTAAACAGCGACCTCAAGAAAATGCAACTAAGTCCCTGTATAGAGTAACAATAACACAGGATTTTCGCCCAGGAGACCACTGTTCACGTCCCATGTGAAAGTAAAAGTAAAAGTTGACTTATTTTAACTTTACATCAGTAAGTTAACTTGGGTGACATACCTGACGTGACCTAAGTTCGTGACCTAAATAACATAACAAATACACTTATTGTAACCCAAACCATGACCTTTGCCAAAACTAACCAAGTAGTTTTGCTGCATAAAGGTTGGATATGCACCTTCTGGCCTACTGGTACGTGCAGTTTGCCCCATCTGAAGTATTATAATGGTAGTTATATCATATAATAATGGCCATTTAATGAGCTGATAACATCCAAAACTGGTGAAAAACTGGAACTGCGTTGTCTTCACTGAAACAAACAAAAAAATGGTACACTTTTGTACTGTGTCATTTTGTTTTTCCATGTGCAGTGTAACGTATATGTTTTGTGTTATATCTTGTTAAAGTATAGATGTAAGCTGTGTGTTTATGACAGAAACAGCAACAACCGTGCCCAAACCAAGTTTCTCCTTGGGGAGCAATGACTTTAATTCATATCTTGAATTTCTTTCTCTCTGTTTTATTCTGTTAAGATGGCTGGTAAATTACAGCCAATGGCCAGCTACAATACTGAAGCCGTGCAGAAAAAAAGAACCTAATTACAGCCACTTATCCTCAAGCTGAGGGGCTACATGGTGGCACAGAGGGAGAGAGATGGAGAGGAAGAGGACAGTGGTGTAATCACTCCTAAGACCAGCTACTCAGAGGCTAACCACACTGGCTGGCACATTAACATTGTGCTGAGTGCCATAGCCGTCTGCAGATTGGGATGTTAGCTACACACAGATGTATTTAGGAACTGAAACCTTTTGATAACCTTGATGTATTTATGTGTCAACACTACAGTCTATACTTGAACCACAGACTTGTTTTCTATTATTAGTCAATGCAGTGCCAGGAATACAGAATACAATTTAATATTTTGTCAGAATTGTCGAGTTATTTCAGACTGTGATTTGATAAGATATTGTTTCTAAACTGTACAAGGCTGTAACTGTGTTTTCCCCTGAGCGGACCTCAATTATAGTAGTTAGAAGTTATACTTTCTGCTCTGGATAATTTAGAGGCTGTTCTAGATGCTGTCAAAAGGTTTAAAAGCACACAGGAAACACATCTGTGTCATGTCTGACTGACAGGTCCTGTTCAACCTGACATGGCTCTGCAGGATCACAGTACTGTTGCAGTATGGCAGCAACAACAACATTCTCTCCCTGTATAACAGTCCTCAGAAGCATGTTTACAGTAAACAAAGCTTTATAAATGGCAGCAGACAAACAGGGCGACATACTGTACAGCACCCAGCAGGATGCAGGCACCTGTGAAGTAATTAGCCCAGCTTACAAGGATGGCACTCTGTGAATGTGGCATGAGGTAATGGTGCTGAGCCAACGGGGAGGAGAGGCAGATGCACGAGCTGAGTCACACTGATGGCAACAGACATGATAATGCAAACATTCCCGCTGCAGGCATGGCCGTGCAGGTCAATACAGGCTGACATTTTAAGTGAAGTAAATACATGTGTAGATACTACCAATCAAAGAGGTGTTGACATACAGTACAATCATCAGTATCATAATTTTATGTACATTATCATCACATGAAAACTTTACAAGTCTAAAATGTCAGCTCATTAAAATCATTTTTTTTTCTGTGACTGAAAACTCAGTAATTTATGAAAAAAATGAGTAGCTTCTGTTGTAAATGCGGAGCGGCTAAAGGACCATTAAAGATGAGTGGCGGAAGTCAGATAATCTCTGTTGATTTCCAGACGGGAAATTGTGTTTACTTTGTGAAATCCCATGGAGTTGTGAGGTTTCCCTACTTGCAGGCATGATGATGTGAAATCTGGCTGAACTCACTAAAAACTGACACAAACACGGCTGCTGAAATGTCAGCCTGTGCCTCCTCTTCTCTGTCCCTCATCTATTCATCCATCACTCTCCGCCCCTCCACATCGCACTGTGACCTTCCCTCCTTTCACCCCCCTCTCCCTCCTTTCACCCCCCTCTCCTGTGATCAGGCTAAGATCATGGATCACACAGAGGGAGTTATTTATAGTCCAGGATTCCCAAAGGAGCTCCTCGCCCCACCGGGCAGCTCTGCACTCAGACTAAACCCCCGTGCATGTTTAGTCACAGTTTATGAGGAACTGAGTGCTCATTTAAAATTCAAAAGTAGTCAGTGTGTGTGCCAAAACAAAAGCCGTGCACAAAAATACACACAGCAGCGTAACGCTTTGCAGATTAAGAATGAATAGTAATCGCTGACAGTGTTACCCAGCTGTGAGCCCCACACGCACAGGTGCTAGCAGAGGAGGGAGGCAAACGCCATGGCGACTGGTGGGATCGTGGCCAGCGGTTGGCTGGACAGGGGGAGGAGGGGTGGGTCTAAAGATGGAGGGAGGACCAATGACGGTACACAACTAATTCAACACATGGCCTGCATGTGCATCCAGATCGACGCTTTACTGTCAAGTCTGGGATGGGTGTGTGCGCATGTTGATGTATGTCATTGAACATCCCTGAAGCATGGTAGTTTGTTCTACTGTATGTCAACACCTCTTTGTTTTCTTTGTCCTTCTCTCTTTCTCTGTCTCTGAGGACAGCTAGTCCGTGCTCACAGAATGACTCCACTAAAGTGATCGCAAGCAACTGATCAAGTCATTCGAAGAGATAAAGAGATAAACAACACCTCGAATGGCCTTTTATCGACCAGGTTTACTGTAATTAACAGAAATACAGTAATAACACCACACATAAAGTATGACAGAGAGACGTGGAGCCACATGGCCACACTGAATGCGCACTGGCTACCAAACAAAACTTCAATTATTAAATGATGCAAGAACAGAAAATGTAATCAAGCACCGAAATCTAACAATTTTAAGTGTTGTTTTTCTTCTCATGAGAACGGAAGATATCAGAATATTCAGTCATTTGCGTTTCCTCAAGAGCTGAGCGATCAATGTGTTCTGCAAAACTGATTATAGCTATGAAATCCCTCATATAATTCAAACTTTCATACATATCCCCACACACATACAGGGGCATAAACACAAACACATGCATGCACACAAAAGGCTGTGGGGAGGAACAGACACAGCCACTGCCATCTGCTCCATTCAGTTAAAGGCTGCACTGAGTGGTGCTGAGCAAGAGTCTCCATACATCACTACCATTCAATAAACACTGCCACTACTCAAAGCTGCACGCCCACACAGGGAACAAACACACGGACATACGCTTTCTCCTCAAGTGAACACACACACAGAGTAACATCCACAGGCTAGATGAGCTTATATAAATGCATGCCTAAGGATACACACCAACTAAACATTATTTAATCAATACACATAAAAGCTACATAAACTCATCCTTTACACACCAAAAAAGGCACAATAAATTACAAACCAGATAAAACTGAGAATTTCAAACATCCACACACACTATCCAAACAGTGATCTGTGCATAACAACAAGAGCTCTTACCCATCAGTTGTGCCGTGCTGTCCGGTTGTTGTGTGTTTGTGTATGTGTGTGTGTGCAGTGTACAGTATCAGAGAGAGAGAGAGAGAGAGAGAGAGAGAGAGAAAGTGTGTGTTTGTAGCCAAAAAAGTGCGACTCTGAACAGAGCAGTAAAAGTCCACTGTAGCGCGAAAAATACAGCAGACCAACCTGGTTTTTTTCGTAGTGAGAACAGATCTCTCTCCCTCCCTGTCTTTCACACTCCGTCTTTCACTCTATCGCTTCTCTGTGTTTCTCTCACTGACGTGCTTCTTCGCTCTGCCCTCCGGCTGCCACTCTCTCTCCCTCCCTCTGTTCCTCTGGTCCCCTCCCACTCTCTCTATCTCTCTCTCTCCCTCTTGCTCCCTCTCTCAGTGACATCAGAGGGCAGTCTCAGGCATGTTGAGCATTTTATGGGAGTCTCTCCTTCTTTCTGCCGAACTAACAGACCAGCAGAGAAGCAGAGGGCGTCAGATTGTGATCACATTCTCATTTGACTAGACAAACTCTGCTTTTATGAACCACCTCTGCTTTTTTTTTTTTTTTTTTTTTTTGACTGAACAGAGCTCAATGTTGTTATTGCTTGCAGTTCTTGATGTGTTACTTGTTGCACACACACGCACACACACACAGGCACACAGACATACAGACACAGACACAGACACACACACACACACACATTTCTGGATCGTCTCCATGTAAAACCCTCCTACACACCAGCAGCCCAACAGAACAGACAGTTGTTGTGGAGTTGACTGGATGATAATGGCTGCTGCTTGGTCTTGCAACTGGAACACTTTACAGCCACTTAAGGCGCACTGTCTCTGTCTCACACAGTCGACGCTGATCACTGCTTCGGCATGGTGTCCAAGCTCAAACCTTTGTGAGTAATCTATGTAAGTAATATCTGTTAGGATGTTCTGTTATGACTTTTTACAGATAGATATAATTTAAGTGATCACAAACTGTGCCTCTGAAGAGCCAGGTATATTACAAGAGAAGATTGTGTTTGAGGCTTAAAATGACCACCAATAAATATCAAAGGAGATGCACTGATGCAGTTCATTAAGACATAAAAGCAAAATGTGATTCTGAGAAAGGAAAAAAAAAACAATTAACAGAGAGAGAGAGAGAAGCTGAATCAAAGTAGAGATACAGATTTATAAATAGATGCCTGAAAAATGTGCTGCAGATGAGTGATAGGATTTGGAATGATAAAGAGGAGCAATTAGGGCTGTTGAAGGACTCGCCTATCGAGTGGCATCAGAGTCCACTAATGACAAGTGCTCCTCTGGGGGCGACACCTGACATATGTCTTGCTGTCATGTCAATGGGCAGTTTGATACTCAGCCAATAGGAGTGAATGCATGGGACTGACTGCATTATGAATAGCTGTTTACATGGCGAGTGTGTAATTGTATGAAAATTACCACATGTGGTACAGTCCTCATTTGCAAAAGTGGCTACTTTATAATCCCCATTAAATCACACAGACTCAAAGATTGGAGAAGTGACAGGATGCCAGTTGCAAATTGAAGCTGATGATCCTGGCAGCAAAGACTCAAGAGGTGCTCAGCAGCAAAACGTGGGGCAGTTGGGAAAGTTTCATTTTACCCAAATGTCCTCTCACATGCTGGAGTGACAATCAGTAGTGTTTAAAAGTTGTTTTCTGCTCCTCTCTACTATACTTTAAAAAGGCTCTGGAAAAACGGAGGAAAAACTGGCAAACAATAGTGTCCCAATTCTCCTCTATAAAACTTTATGGAGCTATTTTCAGAATATACCCACCTGATCAGATTGGAGTATGAAAATTACACGCTCAAAACTGAACACACCCAAAAAGACAGGCTGCAACTTCAGAATGAGTACGTGTGAACAGTGAAAACAAAAGCATGGGGTGTGTCCAGTAATTAGAGCAGAACTGGACACCACAACAAAAAGTGGACATGAACAATGCCACATTTACTTCAAAGTGACACTGATCAATACCCTAAATTTATTAATAACTACCTGATAGTTGTAAAACTAATATTGCATTTACATGCAGTTTGTCATTAATCAGGTATATCCCCTTACCACTACCATATACATATATTTAAAGATATATATATATATACAGATTTCAAACCAACTTATGTTCAAATATATTCCAAAGAGCTGACTGTTACATTCACACACCCACACAGGTGTTTTATTTGCGCTGCCTAATTAGACCTCTGCTGAGGTAAAGGATAGGTGGAGCTATGATGGGAATTATGTGAAGTCACCAAACTGTATTAGCTAATGAGAATGATTATGGTGTAATTTGACCCGCCCTACCAGGTAAAACCAAACTAACAGGAGGGTGGGGAAAATGTCAAGCTTGTAAACACCCACACAGGGGAGAAAAAGCACAGAGTAATGCCCTTTCAACTGATTCCACTGTGGTCAATCCATCCTCCATGATGCTTTCACTTATCTTTATTTAAGTCAAGCATATAAATACATGTAAAAACCCTGTTTAACCCAGTTAACTGAACACATGTGAAAAGAAGTAAAGTACTTTAAGGGGGTTTCTATCTGACAGCTATGTACCCAGATGCTCTTAATTCCTTCCCTAAATTAAGGTAACTAGGTTACTTGTTTACATGCTGTATTATAAATGTCCTTACGTCAGAAACCCAATGATAATTACATTGTCTAAGTTCATGTAAGCACACTGATTTTCCCGCACGTCTTGTCTAATTTGCATGTCTTTGTGTGTATTTGTGTGCATGCAGGTGCATGTAGAGGGATCTGTGTCTGTGTGTGTTTGCAAGAGCTATTTTTGAAGTTCACCATAGAATCCAGTAAGCCAAGTTTTGTTTGATCAGACAACACACCCACACACCTGGCTGCGATAAGGTTCTGCGTTATCAGCTTGTTGTATGGTGTTGACGTCAAAGGCTTAGGTAAGCTTCATGCAGCCATGACACTGATAACAGCAAATGCTACTCAGCCCAAACCACAGAGGTGTTTACACACACGCATGCAACATTTCATTTTTAGAAATGGGGGATAATCACTGTCGGGGAGAGCAGTGACCGGACTGAAACTGAGCAGAGAAGCAACACATGAACTTTGCAGGAAAAATCAATGTATGGACATTAGGTCAAATGGTCAAAGATCAGTGGCGGTAAGCCGACAGCTTGGCAAATAAAAGTGAACAGCGTGAAACATGTGGGAAGCTTCTGAAGAAAAACACAAAAGAGAAGAAAACAAACCCACAAAACTTGCTGAAGAATGCCAGTGCATGAGCATGGGAGCCTGTTTCCATCGACTGCATATTATGCAAGCAGTCAATGTTAATTTGTTTGTTAGTACAGAGAGTGGTGCGATGCATGAATGTGATCCAGTGCCATGTACTGTATACTTTAATAAGTCAAAGAAAACACTGACAAGAATGTCGAGCATCTGAAATACACAAAAGATGTTGCACTCTAATTAATGGCTGAAACTTTTTTCTCATGCTGTGTTGTGGTTCAAAATGTTTTTGTTGACTGATGCTTTTTTTCTGTTGTTCCATTTTTTTCTTATTGGAACTAGCATCCAAATCTTTATGTACATGACTTGCTGCCAAAATGTCTGTGCACAGATGCTGAAAAGTGATACTGTATCCAAAACACAACCCAAACGTGTTGTATTTTGCTTTGTTTAATGGTAGTCAAGCCAGAGAGCTGTAATATTATCTTTAGACCAGAACAGCTAATCCGGAGCAGGTCTGCTTTCCAACTGCCAATGAGTCAGTTTAAAGCCAGAATCACATCCACATCGGCATAACTGTGTTGGACTAATTTTGTCACCTGTTCATGGTCACGACACAACAACCAGCACGTGGCTTAGTCTGCCTTCATAGACACTAAATGAAAAATATACAGAACCACATAACAGGTCTCGGAGCATGTAAGGGACTTAGTGAGTTTTATGTTCATGTATGAATGAAAGCATGTGTATGGAACTGTACGTGCGGGGCAGAGTGAGACATAAAGATAAGGCGATGAAAGTCTATATGGAAGAGGGCTTGTGGAGTTATTTGCAACAGCCAGCGAGAGAACCAGACAAGGCGATAAGTGAGCATATCCGAGATAAATAGCTCGTGTAGCTATGTGCATCAGAGTCAGCGTGTGCGTGTGCGTTAAATAATGCATGTGGCATAATGATTGCAAGGCATGCTGAAATACACAGTGTGGCAGCCAGGCAGACAGGACTGATGAATAAGTAATGGACGGCGTCCGCCTCGTAATGTACACACGTGTGCACGCGCATACGCACACACACACACACACACACACACACAAGCATGCATGCAAACCATAACCACAAACTGGTTCATGCACAGGAGAGAGAGAAAAAAATAGCAACTCTTATTTTTGTATCTTCTTCTGCTCTTGTCTTCCCCCTCCTCTCCACAGTGACAGGGGGGTGGTGGGAGAGGAGGGTTGCTTTTTTCATCCAGCTCCCCTGAGAACCCAGACCCGACTCCAAATATGTGAGATACTGTGTCGTTTATTATTGATTTAGGTTATTTATAATACACACTCTCCCTGCAACCCCCCCTTTACATCTCTCTCTTTCTCTGCCTCCCCATCTCATTCGTTAGTATCTCTGGGATTCTCAAAATACAGATACAAATATAAATCTAGAAAGTATTTCCATCTGAAACAAGCATTACCCTCTCTAAAATAACCCTTTTCCAATACCTTTCTCTGTCAAATAAAAACAGATTTAATGAATGCAGAGGATTTCTAATGACAGTCAGAACAAGCTAAGTTGACGCAGAATATGAGAGCCCACCGTTTCAGTACCCTCTCATGTCTTCATTTAATACTGCTATAAAACACTGCCGAAGTATAAAGAAAGTATTATATCGTGCCAAAAGCTTGTACTCTCTCCCTCGCATATTCTGCCACTTCTCTTACTTAGCCAACACATGGCAACAGACTCGAGGTTATTAAAAAATATTTTAAAAGGCTTAACAGATCAGCACAAGTACAGAGTCCTGAGCTATCAGCTATGTTATCGGTCAGCGTTTTCAGCTGTCTTTCGCCTGCTCTTGCATTGCTAACAAATGCTCTCGATTCCTTTAAATATGTCAACAATAAAACAAAACAAGAAACAATTAATTACAGGCAGAGCAGACTCATAATAAATAGGTAAACAGAACTCTTTGAATTCTCCGTTGTCACTTATGAAAAGAGGGACAAAACTAAAATAATTTATACTGTATTGCTTTTGCATGAGATGCCCCAATCAAATTTTACAGACATGAACACAAAAACAAGTAGAATAGGCAATACCAGTTGATCAGGAATATTAAAATGAAGAAGTGTTTGGAGCAATTAATGTTTGCTTGTGTGGGTCTATACTGTGTATTGTAGTCTCTTTATATGGAAAAGCAGAAAAAGCAAAAAAAAAAAAAAAGCAAAAAGGAACCAATGTTGGGGCTGTAAACTAGTGACTTCTCTCTCTCTAACACACACACACACACACACACACACACACACACGCACACGCAAACACACATGGATTTGGCTGAATGACAATAAACCCCACTGTAGTGAGGCAGCTGCAGTAGGCTACAGTATAACATCCCTAGAAGCAAGCTGCTGTAGACTCTTTGTTTATTAGTAGAGTTGTTGGATATGATGATATATACAGGGAAACAATGTCTCTGCCAGTAGAGATGTTGTAATGTCGTATCTACAGAGAGAACTATGACTTTAGCATCTCTGATTGCGTTAGGCCAGTGTTTTGGGCATGTGACCCTTAAAAAAAAAAGAGATCGCTTGTCAGTTCTTTGGATTTACTGTATTAGGCTATCATTGGCAATGTTGCAAATAAATAGGAAGGACTGCTCTCTGGCAATAAGGATTTAACACAGTGGTTAAGTTTTTTTTGGGGGGTATTTAAAATATAAATAGCCACATCTGTTATTAACTATATTATTATAGTTTTATTAACTATATCACACTATATGTGTAGATCTCTATCATGATAGAGCCATGTCTTCTCATGTCATGACACCACAAACTGTGCGCACAAACAAATATGGTTAGTTTCTTTGAGTGTATTCAAATCTACGTTTTTTAGTCTGGTTGAATTAGACTCTGGGTTGTTCTATTTTCTTAGACAGGACTCATTTGAGCAATTCTGAACTCAGCAAGTACTCAGGTGCAGAACAGAACAGCTGTGAGACCCTTTAGAGGAAGTGGTCTTGTTGGATGTGGTTTGAATGTGATCCGATCCTCAAATTGACTCAACTATAAAGTGTACTCTGCAAAGTTTACGCTAAACGGCTTCCACAGCCAGGTGCACTTTTCCTACTGGGATGCAGAGTGAG